TGCTTGGTGATGTCTAGTGATGTATAATGATGTCTAGTGATGTATAATGATGTCCAGTGATGTATAATGATGTCTATTGATGCTTGGTGATGTCCAGTGATGTATAATGATGTCTAGTGATGTATAATGATGTCTAGTGATGTATAATGATGTCTAGTGATGTATAGTGATGTATAGTGATGTATAATGATGTCTAGTGATGTCCAGTGATGTATAATGATGTCCAGTGATGTATAATGATGTCCAGCAATGTCTAGTGATGTATAATGATGTCTATTGATGCTTAGTGATGTCCAGTGATGTATAATGATGTCCAGCGATGTCTAGTGATGTAGAATGATGTCTATTGATGCTTGGTGATGTATAATGATGTCAGGTGATGTATAATGATGTCTAGTGATGTCCAGTGATGCTTAGTGATGTCCAATGATGTATAATGATGTCTAGTGATGTCTAGTGATGTATAATGATGTCTAGTGATGTATAATGATGTCTAGTGATGTATAATGATGTCAGGTGATGTATAATGATGTCCAGTGATGTATAATGATGTCTAGTGATGTCAGTGATGCTTAGTGATGTCCAATGATGTATAATGATGTCTAGTGATGTCTAGTGATGTATAATGATGTCTAGTGATGTATAATGATGTCTAGTGATGTATAATGATGTCCAGTGATGTATAATGATGTCTAGTGATGTATAATGATGTCTATGATGTTGTGATGTCCAGTGATGTATAATGATGTCTAGTGATGTATAATGATGTCAGTGATGTATAATGATGTCCAGTGATGTATAATGATGTCTAGTGATGTATAATGATGTCTAGTGATGTATAATGATGTCTATTGATGCTTGGTGATGTCCAGTGATGTATAATGATGTCTAGTGATGTATAATGATGTCTAGTGATGTATGTGATGTCTAGTGATGTATAGTGATGTCTAGTGATGTATAATGATGTCCAGTGATGTATAATGATGTCCAGTGATGTATAATGATGTCCAGCGATGTCTAGTGATGTATAATGATGTCTATTGATGCTTAGTGATGTCCAGTGATGTATAATGATGTCCAGCGATGTCTAGTGATGTTAATGATGTCTATTGATGCTTGGTGATGTCTAGTGATGTATAATGATGTCTAGTGATGTATAATGATGTCAGGTGATGTATAATGATGTCCAGTGATGTATAATGATGTCTAGTGATGCTTGGTGATGTCTAGTGATGTATAATGATGTCTAGTGATGTATAATGATGTCCAGTGATGTATAATGATGTCTATTGATGCTTGGTGATGTCCAGTGATGTATAATGATGTCTAGTGATGTATAATGATGTCTAGTGATGTATAATGATGTCTAGTGATGTATAGTGATGTATAGTGATGTATAATGATGTCTAGTGATGTCCAGTGATGTATAATGATGTCCAGTGATGTATAATGATGTCCAGCAATGTCTAGTGATGTATAATGATGTCTATTGATGCTTAGTGATGTCCAGTGATGTATAATGATGTCCAGCGATGTCTAGTGATGTAGAATGATGTCTATTGATGCTTGGTGATGTATAATGATGTCAGGTGATGTATAATGATGTCTATTGATGCTTGGTGATGTATAATGATGTCAGGTGATGTATAATGATGTCTAGTGATGTCCAGTGATGCTTAGTGATGTCCAATGATGTATAATGATGTCTAGTGATGTCTAGTGATGTATAATGATGTCTAGTGATGTATAATGATGTCCAGTGATGTATAATGATGTCCAGTGATGTATAATGATGTCTAGTGATGTATAATGATGTCTATTGATGCTTGGTGATGTCCAGTGATGTATAATGATGTCTAGTGATGTATAATGATGTCAGGTGATGTATAATGATGTCTAGTGATGTATAATGATGTCTAGTGATGTATTAATGATGTCCGTGATGTATAATGATGTCTATTGATGCTTGGTGATGTCCAGTGATGTATAATGATGTCTAGTGATGTATAATGATGTCTAGTGATGTATAGTGATGTCTAGTGATGTATAGTGATGTCTAGTGATGTATAATGATGTCCAGTGATGTTAATGATGTCCAGTGATGTATAATGATGTCCAGCGATGTCTAGTGATGTATAATGATTCTATTGATGCTTAGTGATGTCCAGTGATGTATAATGATGTCAGCGATGTCTAGTGATGTATAATGATGTCTATTGATGCTTGGTGATGTCTAGTGATGTATAATGATGTCTAGTGATGTATAATGATGTCAGGTGATGTATAATGATGTCCAGTGATGTATAATGTGTCTAGTGATGCTTGGTGATGTCTAGTGATGTATAATGATGTCTAGTGATGTATAATGATGTCCAGTGATGTATAATGATGTCTATTGATGCTTGGTGATGTCCATGTGATAATGATGTCTAGTGATGTATAATGATGTCTAGTGATGTATAATGATGTCTAGTGATGTATAGTGATGTATATGATGTATAATGATGTCTAGTGATGTCCATGTGTATAATGATGTCCAGTGATGTATAATGATGTCCAGCAATGTCTAGTGATGTATATGATGTCTATTGATGCTTAGTGATGTCCAGTGATGTATAATGATGTCCAGCGATGTCTAGTGATGTAGAATGATGTCTATTGATGCTTGGTGATGTATAATGATGTCAGGTGATGTATAATGATGTCTAGTGATGTCATGATGCTTAGTGATGTCCAATGATGTATAATGATGTCTAGTGATGTCTAGTGATGTATAATGATGTCTAGTGATGTATAATGATGTCTAGTGATGTATAATGATGTCAGGTGATGTATAATGATGTCCAGTGATGTATAATGATGTCTAGTGATGTCCAGTGATGCTTAGTGATGTCCAATGATGTATAATGATGTCTAGTGATGTCTAGTGATGTATAATGATGTCTAGTGATGTATAATGATGTCCAGTGATGTATAATGATGTCCAGTGATGTATAATGATGTCTAGTGATGTATAATGATGTCTATTGATGCTTGGTGATGTCCAGTGATGTATAATGATGTCTAGTGATGTATAATGATGTCAGGTGATGTATAATGATGTCCAGTGATGTATAATGATGTCTAGTGATGTATAATGATGTCCAGTGATGTATAATGATGTCTATTGATGCTTGGTGATGTCCAGTGATGTATAATGATGTCTAGTGATGTATAATGATGTTAGTGATGTATATGATGTCTAGTGATGTATAATGATGTCCAGTGATGTATAATGATGTCCAGTGATGTATAATGATGTCCAGTGATGTATAATGATGTCCAGCGATGTCTAGTGATGTATAATGAGTCTATTGATGCTTAGTGATGTCCAGTGATGTATAATGATGTCCAGCGATGTCTAGTGATGTATAATGATGTCTATGATGCTTGGTGATGTCTAGTGATGTATAATGATGTCTAGTGATGTATAATGATGTCAGGTGATGTATAATGATGTCCAGTGATGTATAATGATGTCTAGTGATGCTTGGTGATGTCTAGTGATGTATAATGATGTCTAGTGATGTATAATGATGTCCAGTGATGTATAATGATGTCTATTGATGCTTGGTGATGTCCAGTGATGTATAATGATGTCTAGTGATGTATAATGATGTCTAGTGATGTATAATGATGTCTAGTGATGTATAGTGATGTATAGTGATGTATAATGATGTCTAGTGATGTCCAGTGATGTATAATGATGTCCAGTGATGTATAATGATGTCCAGCAATGTCTAGTGATGTATAATGATGTCTATTGATGCTTAGTGATGTCCAGTGATGTATAATGATGTCCAGCGATGTCTAGTGATGTAGAATGATGTCTATTGATGCTTGGTGATGTATAATGATGTCAGGTGATGTATAATGATGTCTAGTGATGTCCAGTGATGCTTAGTGATGTCCAATGATGTATAATGATGTCTAGTGATGTCTAGTGATGTATAATGATGTCAGTGATGTATAATGATGTCTAGTGATGTATAATGATGTCAGGTGATGTATAATGATGTCCAGTGATGTATAATGATGTCTAGTGATGTCCAGTGATGCTTAGTGATGTCCAATGATGTATAATGATGTCTAGTGATGTCTAGTGATGTATAATGATGTCTAGTGATGTATAATGATGTCCAGTGATGTATAATGATGTCCAGTGATGTATAATGATGTCTAGTGATGTATAATGATGTCTATTGATGCTTGGTGATGTCCAGTGATGTATATGATGTCTAGTGATGTATAATGATGTCAGGTGATGTATAATGATGTCCAGTGATGTATAATGATGTCTAGTGATGTATAATGATGTCCAGTGATGTATAATGATGTCTATTGATGCTTGGTGATGTCCAGTGATGTATAATGATGTCTAGTGATGTATAATGATGTCTAGTGATGTATAGTGATGTCTAGTGATGTATAGTGATGTCTAGTGATGTATAATGATGTCCAGTGATGTATAATGATGTCCAGTGATGTATAATGATGTCCAGCGATGTCTAGTGATGTATAATGATGTCTATTGATGCTTAGTGATGTCCAGTGATGTATAATGATGTCCAGCGATGTCTAGTGATGTATAATGATGTCTAGTGATGTATAATGATGTCCAGTGATGTATAACGATGTCCAGTGATGTATAATGATGTCTAGTGATGTATAATGATGTCCAGCGATGTCCAGTGATGTATAATGATGTCCATTGATGTATAATGATGTCCAGTGATATGCAATGATGTCTAGCAATGCCTAGTTGCGTGTAAGGATGTATATTGATATGTTATGATGGGTATCTATGATGAATTATGGCTATTGATGTATATATGCCAGCTAAAAACAAGTGCGATTTTACTATTGGTGTATACTGGACATAAACTTATTACCATTTATAGCTTGGGCATCCGGGCACGTCATTTTTTCCCGCGTTTACGCGCGAAATTTTGTAAACAAAGATGGCGACGAGAACAAAAATTGTCAAAGCATTCAAATTGCACGGTTTGTCTTTGCAAAGGTTCGTTTTCCTGAATAGCAATACAAATTAAAGGTTTAAATATACTCAGCAGATAATATTTTCCCTTCTGATTGTATAGGCGTGCGTTTACCTGAGTAAAACGATATTTTCTTACAATTTTCCCAAAATTTTTTATATGATTTCAGCGAGGCCTCTCGTTTTCTGGGCGAAGTGCTGTCAACGGTCGGTGAAAAAGACTACGATGGTTGGCTTGACAGGATTATCGAATACGTTCACAAGCAACCTCGTATGTAAATACTAGATCTGATGTATGCACGCAGATTGTGAAATTAAATGATTATAAAATATCATATTAGATTTGATAAATAATGGAGTATTAACTTCAAGTCTTTAATTAATAATAAAAGTACAACTTGTTCGTATTTTGTGACAGTATCTTCGACACTAATAAGCAAAGATATCGTCGAAACTGCAGTGCAAGAATGCAGCGACCAAACAGATGAAGTCAGGTTTGTAGTTTATTTTGTAAGAAATATTGTCATAATTCATTTTATTATTTCACCGACAACATTTGAATTTTTATCTAGCGATAATGCTTTCAATGTTATCAGTGCTTTTGAGTAAGTATTGTACAATTGTATTTAGAAAATAACATCGTTGTAATTATTGTTTGAAAAGTCATAGGCTATAATGTTGTATTAAACACAATAATATATTCTGACAGAGTGCCTCGTTACAAGTATAATAATGACAAGAAAAAGTTTTTAAAGTTGAGTATAATGTACTAAATTGTCTAAATGTGTAAAGTTTTATTCTCCAAACTGCCTGACCTTTCTTTTATTTGAATATATCAAGCATAGAATACGTTTTTATTTGCTCCAGATGTACTACAAAAAACGTTCATTTACACCCGGAAGCTCCCAGCAGGTCTGAGATGTTTCGAGAGCAATATATGATTATATTCCAGGTATTATTGTGAAGCTAGATTTAGTATATAAATTCTGCATTCACCCTTTCTTGTCTGTAATCACGATGTCATGTTTTTACCTTCAGCGTACAATCAGACATGATTTATTTGCGCCACCGTCAGCTGCAGCTCAACCAGGCGAAAATTCTACAAAATACAGGGTAAAATTACAGTTTCTCTACGCTTTTTTTTTACTTTTGAAGATCTGTCATGAGGATTGTGTATTTTCAACTGAATTAACACTGCGTTATAGAAATTCCCTGCTTTTCCAATTTTAGATAAAACGTGTTGAGTTCCTCCTGGGCAGTACTGCAAAGTTGGGCAAACTTATTGTACTAGGCATGATAGCACAAATTAAAGAGGTATTTCTGATACTGAGAGACAATGTATGTAGGTTCAATTCAGAGATAGATCTAGGGTGGTATTGTAAAGGGGCTGCAGACCAGATGCGGGCCAAGGGTTGAGCCTCTGGCTCAAATATATATATTGGTTTAATATTTATTTACTAGATTAGAATTAACTAATTTTAGGGAAAGTATTATCTGGAAGATTGCACTGGTGTAGTTCAGGTCGACCTGTCAAACACTGTATCCTTCAAATGAGTTGAAACATGTCATATTTATGAACACCACTGATTAAGAATACCACTCGGAATCAGAACATTTTTTGGATAAGTGAATGTAATGCAGTCTCATTTTCCTTAAACCATTGACAGAAATATCACACAGGGTTATTTACAGAGAATTGCTTTGTTCTGGCTGAAGGTAAATGTGTGGATGGATGTAACCCAGAAATCATGCTTACAGTAGGCCAAGTGGGAGATTTGAGAATGATGTATTAATAAACCTTTCTCATAATGATCTGAAACACAGAAAGTCTGATGCTACATGGAGTTGGATTGGTTCAGCAATCTCATCATTATCTGACATTACACAGTGCAGTTGTAGGTAGTGAACGTGCTGTGGTCTCACAATGATTAATCACAACAATTTTTAGGTCTGTATGAAGATGGTATCTTCCATGTGGATGCAATAGGCTGTCCTCCAGCTGAACCAGCTCAGGTTACAAGGCGAGTATTATGAATTACTCAATCAGGTTTACACTATACGCATCAGCAATCATGAATCAATCTTGAAGTAATTTAATGCAAGGTACGCTAGCTTATATAGAACCTGCCTTTTTCATTTTAATTTATGTAGAAATTATTTTGGCAATATTAATTTCTTTGGTGGTCCTTCAAAAATTGCTGTTTCAGCATCGGTAGGTGAACTGTTTAGTTCAGAATATTGCATAATCATTCCACAGTTGTTCGGGCTTTGCCAAATGCCAATATTGTTTCTGTTTCTTATTAGGAAAAAATGCGAACAATTGAGGAGGAAAATCAGGAAGCAATGTTTGTGATCTTGTCAGATGTCTGGCTTGATTTACCAAGGGTATAAATTGATTTAAGAATTTTATTCATTTTGCCTTCATTGGATACATCAAATCCTGTATGTGTTAAACTTGGTTTCTATTCCTTTCTTTTGTGAAGGTCATAGCAAAGCTAAGAGTTCTCTTTCATGGTTACCATACAACTCCACCAACACTCTTTATATTTTGTGGAAATTTCATCTCTGAGTCTTATGGACCAAAGCATTCATCACTTTTACGAGGTTGGTAATCTGGAGTCGTCTTTTGGGTGATGATGGTAGCAATTAAATTGGACTAATATGTGTCTGAAATATCTGTAAAAGATACTTCTAATTTAGTATTGTTTAAGCAGGCATGGTATTTAAGATGGTTTGTGACTTTGTGTCTGAACCACAGGATTGTGCAAAGGATGCATGCATAGTAGACATTTTTGTTTCTTCAATTTAGAGTCCCTAAATAACCTTGCAGACCTGATTTCAGAATATCCTTCACTAGTGGAATGGTAAATAACTTTATACAATTATACCAAATAAATTTTTCTAATTACTGAAAGGCAAATTTATATCGTTCAAACAGTAGCCGATTTTTATTTGTCCCTGGACCACGAGACCCTGGACCAGGAAACATATTACCAAGGTTCATATCAAGTTCATTCATATATTTTTTAAATATTCCCTTCTATTTTTCTATGATAACTTTATGTATTTCTCTTGAAGACCTCCACTACCATCTTGTCTGACAGAGGAAATCAGGACCAAAATCCCTTTTGCAATTTTTGCAACAAATCCATGCAGGTATATTCTTACAGTCCATGGTTCTTAGACACAATATAACTTGATCTTGTACACAATTTACTGACCTTATTAACCTCCGGGAATCAGGGATGTGTTTTTTAACAATTTCTTCCACAGGATCCAGTATTGCACGCAAGAAATTATGGTGTTTCGTGAAGATTTGGTGAACAAAATGTGTCGAAATTGTATTAAACTGCCCACAGAATTAGGAGACATTCCTGCCCACGTAAGTGTACAGTGAAATACAATAGTTCAAATTACTCCACTTTCATAAATCTGCCTATCACATTTTCACACTATTGTAATTTTTTCCAGTTTGTGAAAACTATCATCTCTCAAACTCATATCTGCCCTCTTCCTCCACACGTCCGACCTGTCTACTGGAATTATGATAATGCCTTGAGGATTTACCCATTGCCTGATATGGTAAGACTGTTGTGCCTATATAGTGGCTTGTGTTGTTTGTATGTGTGAAAATATGTTTACTTTGGACTCTAGATCTATAACACTGGATCAATAAGAGATGATTATTACTGGACCTCCAGGAAGAACAGTTCAGAACTGATAGAACTATCCAGTATAAATAAAGTTAGTTTAGGTTTCCTCCTGTTGTAAAACTGGATCAATAAGAGATATGATCCTGACTGGACCTCAAGGAAGAACAGTTTAGAGCTGATATAGCTATCCAGTATAAATAAAGTTAGTTTATTATGTTATTTTTTGTAAGTAGCAATGAATGTCCCATACTATTTTTTAGATAATTCTTGCTGACAAATACCGTTCCTATGTCCAACCCACAACACTAGATTGCATTTGTTTGAACCCAGTAAGTTTGCAAGTATAATGTATTATATTTTATGTTCATGAGATTCTCCAACATTGTATCTTAGACTAAGACAAACGTTTTCTAATTCATAACCCATAATCTTTCCTCCAAAGGGGTCATTTTCAATGAATGATTATTGCTTCAAAGTTTACTGGCCATCATCAAAAGAAGTTGAAGATAGGTAAGAAAAAAAGCCAATTTATCTGCCATTGGTTTGATTTAAACTGTCTGTTTTTTGAGGGATATAGTGCACTGTAGTGAGGAAATATTTCCTTGCCCTAAACCTGTTCTAACCTGATGTTTTCAGCAAAATTCAAGATTGAATTACTGGGATTCCTAGAAAAAGGTATTTTTTGTCACATACATGGTACTTATTGTGAGATTCAAATTTTCTAATAATTTTCATCAGAAGATCTGAATGAAGCAGATGAACTATAACATCTCATTAAAAAACAAATTTTAACATGTTTAACAAATGTTTAATAAAAATTCATAAGACAGTTTGTATGTACATGCATATATATGTTTTTCAAAGCAAAATCATGCAACTACATTGAAAGTCTATTTTACTTTGAAAGCATTGTTCAGAAGCAGATTGTCGGCCAGGTTGTTGGGGGGGGTGAGTGTCACATCCCATATTAAATACTACACCCCCCTGAAATATGCACATTTTAATAACTTGATAACTATGAAATTTCTGAATGGCATTCCTGTTTAGAGTCTATGAAAAAAATTACCTGCCAGCAATCTATGTCTGACTATATACATTAAGGATTGTTTATTTGTCCGAGTTAGCCTGTATGTATACGCCTTCCTGAAAAAGAGAACAAGATGTATATATTCTTAGCTTTGCATTTCTCATAATTTCATTCTCAGGGACCGGTTGTTCAAAAGCTGGTTAGCTAAACATTCGGTTAAGGCAAATCTTTGCATGAATTTTTAAATCGCTCGTTTAAAAAGTTGAATATCTTTTTTTTCTGTAAATATTTTCTGGACTGACAAAAGCCATATTTTGTACAGGTTTTAAAATGAACAGCGGTTCAGAAGCCACATTGTTCGAAACAGTGGACATTTGACTCCTCAAGGATTACCGCTAACCTAGCTTTGAACAACGGGTCTCTGAAGGATTTACATACCACAGCTTCCCATTCGTTGCCTGGTTCCGTGTTAGAATAAGCACTGACTTCACTTTGACCATTAATTGGTCGGCCAAATGTATCCCCAGTAATGTGCAGATACCTTTAAAATAAAGTTAGAGATACCATAAAGACTATGTTATTACCACTGGTGTTGGTATCAAGAGGAATGTATTTAGAATGAAAATGGTAACTCAGAAAACCACAATCTATTATACTTTTTAGTCAATGTGTGTTTGAAGCGGACTCTATCACTTCTGTTCCAATATTTTGAGGTGCAAATGACGGACCAGTGGTCGCCCTCATCACCAACACCATTCTCCCCAAATGCGCTCACTTCTTGGTTGTTTGATAATGGTGATTGAAACAGATGACTGTGGAGGAAACGTTTGGTTGTTTGATGGACAAGACGGATTGTACTACCACATTTGATTGGATTCCTACAAGAACAATGTTAAAATTGATATGTTATGATAGTCCTTGCTTAGAAGACACTTTACCAGTTACCAGTACAAGCTACCAGTACAAGTTACCAGTACAACTGTACAAGTTAACAGTATTTATTTACCCTCGTTTGCATGGTGTCCCCATCTTTCCTTTCACAACCCATAAGCTATTGATGTCGTCCTGATTTCCTACACCAGTTACAGACTTGAAAAAAGAAATATTATGTTAGCTAGATTTTGCAGCCAATTCCACAGACAATGGTTATTTCACAGACATAAGGATTACTAGGTTTGATTGCTGAGGGTATAGTAGACAAAACCAACCTGTTGGCCAGAACCTGATCCGTACTTAACTTCATGAGAATGCAGTCTAACTCGATGGTATGGATTGAGTAGTTTCACACCACTTCCACAAGTCACATGTTTGAATTCTGTGGGGAAACATTGAACAAGATGAAACTGTGAAACTTATCACACATTTACAAGCCTACATGTAGTGCATTTATTGAACCAGTTGATGTCACCTGGTCTAAAAGGATAAATTTTGAGTATGAAGATGGTAATATTGGTAGCTACTGCAAATGAAAATTTGGCTTTAATAAATGCACTACAAAGGATCGTATATCTGTATTGCTCTTTATATAAACGAGCAAGGTTCTCTTGAAGTACAAGGTAAAAGATGGTGCCTTTCAGATGTCAGATCTGAATCATCTAATATCCGTGCGCTTTAGGATCCGTGAACTACGAGCATCCATTCACAAGTTTAAAACAATTAATTTTGAATAACAACGTGATGACTATGATGTGATAAAAAACCATATGTTTGAGGATAATTCACAAACAGACGAAGTACAATGTCAAACGTAGAAATCCATCATCTGGACGTGATATAATAAAATATCTTCACACCTACCATTTTCTAAATTGCCATGGACATATAGGCTGCCACGCATTAAAACACTAGCTAGCAATGTAATAAATAGATTGTAAACGCTACAAAACATTTTAGTATAATATATATATATTTTTATTTTCATTCGGTACTTTTCGCTTCGTATATTTTCATATTTTTTTACTTTTTTCAATTTTCAGCTTGGGTTGTGCGTGACCATCCCGCGTGTTGCGTGTAACCGGTCGTTCGTCAGCTCGTGGTACGCTCTGATTCGCTAGTTAGAAAACATCCCTCTTTATACATAACCTCCCTCTTTACCCATTTGAGATACAAGTTTTATATCAATTGAAATCCAATTTTATCCGAATATATCCAATATTTTACCCCCTGATGTCATACAGATCCTATAACATACCTATAATACCTTTCTCTGTCCCTTTCTTAAAATTTCCTAATATCCCTTACCATCCCATGTTACTCATTAAGATCCTAATATATTCTCAAAGCGTCAATCTATCCCTCAATTTCAATATGGCCTCCGGAAGAAACGGAGAAAGTGGATCGTTCGTATACGCAGCATAAAAATTTAATACGACCACATATGATTTTGATGCTTTAATTTTCGGCAATGCGATGGTCAACAACTCTAGGTATCGTTATTTTTCTTGTTTTTGCTGCTAGTCTTAAAGGTGTGCTGGCATTTTCATTTTGTGCCATTGTATCGTTTGTGTTTTCACGAAGTTTACTCAATGGAGAACATTCGCTCGACTTTACTCGGTATTTTGCATCGAAAGCAGGGCTCGGCTCGTCCAAAGAACAGCGAGCTCTGCTGTGTAGCACGACGAAGCAGTTCCCTCGGGGCCTAAAAACCCGTCGTCATACATTGATACGAAATATCCTCAGGGATTTTGTGATATCCTGGTACGAAAACGTAGCAATTGGTGGAGATTTTATTTTAGAGACTAGGTCATTGTTAGAAGAGGCTACCGTGGTGTTTTATGACAAGCTTGCAAAGACAACAGTCTCCTCCCATACAGAGAAATTCTGTGTTGTTCTACACAAGCATTTAGCAACTGTGGAAGCTGTGAAATTGACTATCCCAAAAAACCACAAAGATTTTGTGGAGAAATATCATTCCTTGCAACAAGAAGGCCAGACTTACAAAAGCCACGAGTTGCAATATCTTCGGAATATCACAGACTTGTTACTTTACAAACTTATCAAGCCAAAGACATTCAACTGCGATGCAGGTCGATTTATCCTGCGTGAAATTTTAGCTGTCAAACTATTATTGGCTCTTTTAGACACAATATCTGACCCCAATTTCTTGAATGCATCAATAATTAATATATTTGGGGAAAACACAGACGAGAATCAGCTTGCAACGACCCCATCCGAGTTTGTTGATGGCGGAAGTTGTAATTTAAAGGTATCGACTTCTTTCATGGATTTTCTGGATGAAAGATTTGAATCGGATGGACATGACAGAAAGAGAAAGTCGTCTCAGTCAGAAAGTAGCATGACGTACCAGTTCAAAGGTAGTATTGTTGTTGAAAAAGATCATAGCGAACTTGTGGAGATCTCCATGAAACAATATTTGCCGGAAAAAAACAGCGTTTTATCTGAAAATAATGCAACTCAGAGCTCCAAGACTTCTCCTGAAACCGTGGATAAGACGAGTGATTCTTCACTGCCTAAGAGAATCAAGCATACAGTCAAAGAGTTTAGTCAATCTGGGATGTTGAATGGTCTGAATAAAATTAAGAATGATATATTGAAACCGTATAAGGAAAAGGGACAGCAGGTAAAACGTAGTGATAGCTTGAGCGCTAGGATTAATCCCGGCGGAGCTATGATTGCGAGACAAATACGGAAAATGTACTCAAGTCCTATTATTAGGATTCAAACTGTGAAAGATTTAGATGAGCCTGTGGAAGCTGATAAAAATACTACCAAAACTGTATCAGATGCTGATGATTTGGATTTTTCACACGAAGAAAGTGAAATTTCTAATTCTCATTGCCAAACTGCAAGTTTGAATTTTGATAGACCTGAGACCAAAAGCGATGATGCGAACCACCATCATTCGCCGCCAAAAACTGTCGGAACTGATTCGATGTCCTCGAGTTACGAGGATATTGATTTTTTAAGCAGTGACAGGAAACCAGAGGGTATTGATTCTTCGGACGGCATTTTTGAATCAAGAGAGACTGGGACAAGACGTCACATGGCAAGTTTTTCAAGCACAGATGAGTGGGACAGTGAGTTGTTTGAAAAGACTGACGATGGCTTAGCCATTAATCCTGGTGCTGGTTTTATCGAAGAAGATGCTGTCTCCATTTTGCCCGATCAGTTCGGAGATGATACTATTTCAACAGCAAATTTTGCCATTCATGACTTGCCTAATCCTTGTTCAATGATTAATATTCCTGACACACAAATAATGACAGACCATTCGTTTGAGCCATACAAAAGTCAATACACTGTGTATATCATTGTGGTAAGATAAATTTTATCTTCATCTTATACAGTACCCATCCAAGTTACTCATGTGAACACTGTAGTCACATTGTAAATCTTAATTTTCACCTGGAAATATACCCAGTGTTTTATGTCTCAAGTTCACTTGTATCCCATAAAAACTTCATTCTCGTGGTATATGCATCTCATTGATGTGTGTTCTGATTGCTTTGTCCAGTACAACAAGCATTTGGTGATGTCGCCTGAGAGCGATGAACATCCAGTTGATATAGAGAGTTCAGAGGCAGACATGCAGGGTAGCATCAAAAGACGATACCGGGAGTTCATGGAATTACATCATCGACTTGTGTGTGGACCCCTTGCAAGCCTGATGAAAGGTATATCAAATTTTCTATTAATTTAATGCTTTGAAATGGATGCAGTATTCTATGAATTCTCATGGGTAAAATCATCAACCCTTCCATAATGTAAAGTACTAAATTCCTGCTGGATACCTGTGTATTGTCAGTTCCTTAGAGACCTAATAAATTGCATAGCAATAAGCTAAGTCTATCTTTGTAATATACTATATATTTTAATCAGTAATCGTTTTAGATATTCCCAAGCCAAACAGAAAATTCAATTCTCCTTTCTTCCGCCTGGATCAAGATGTTGTTGAAGGAAGACAGATTCTTTTAGAAAGCTATTTAAAGGTCTTACCATTTATTTAAATATTTCTGAAATTTTTCTAACAACGCATGGCTATAATAGCTTGATGATTGGCAACACTTATCTTATTCAGTAAAATGATCTTCCATCAGACAGACTAAAATAGTTCACGTCAGGGCAGTGCATTGCCACCTTAAGTGTTAACCATTTGTTTTAAAAGCGACAAAATCTGGAATCATTTTACATTTGTTTAGTGTCTGGTTACCAAACCTGCTATTCTACACGGCGACGATTTCAAAGGATTTCTAGGAATTGGAGATGAGAGCCATATGGACTTCAGACGACATATTTCAGTTGTTCCCTCATTACCGAATGTTCCAAGAATAGATAAGGTAGGTTTATATTGTGGAAATATTACTATAACAACAGCTCACGTGTCACACTTTGGTAGATCGATCACTTTATCACATCAATTTTTCTGAACATTGTAGAAGTTGCAAAAGAAAGTCACAAAGATCATTGATCACATCAAGACTGCCTTTGATACAGGTAAATCAATCATATGTGACCTAATACAGACATTGGGTTTTCATTTGTTTAAATCCAAGTGTTTAATGGTTATTGTGTCTCTTCTCCAAATTAGGTCCAGTTGATGGAGACAAAGAGGAAGAATATGATGACATTAGAAAAGTTTTAGGAGAAGATAAAAGTTCACAAGATGACATCCGAACATTTGCTATTTGTTCTAAAGATTGTAAGGTATAGCTTCCTTAAATATTTCCCCAGCAAAACTGCTCACTGCATTCAGGGGGGAGGTTCCAAGATTTCGCATATCTAGTCTCAATACTAATAATCCAGCTTTTATATCATGCAGTTCATTCTACTAGTTCACACAACAGGCTGCCACATTTGAGATATACTTTACCATTATTAGGCCATTAGACAAACCATAGTTAACATTTACCTATGGTTTGTGGAATAATTTCCCAATCAGAATTGCATATTAATAACTTGTAGTTAAAAGAGTTGTAGAACAGACTTCAGGGCTATGTGCTATGATTTATTGTAATTGTTGTATTATTTAAGTTAATATTATTTGTTCAAATATACACACCTAGTTGAATCACAGTTGCTGCTACTCTGAAAGATGTTATACCTCGTTCATACAACATCAAGAAGAGGATCCAAATCAATCCACTACAGAAAACCCTGCTTTGGATCACAGGCAACCAAAGTCAGGACCCCTTATCAGGCAGGACCCCTCCAGAAAAATCTCTCCTAGAAATGGTCATGCTATACAAGATGTGAAATTTAGGAAAGATTTGTCGAACTCAGGTGGTAAAATTCCAGTGAAAAGAAATTTTACAGTTCTTGGAAATGACATGTCTGACAGCGCATGCAGCAACAAAGGGCAGGAGAACAATCCATTGACAAAAAGTGTACTGAACTTGAGTTGTCATTTATTTGAGAAGCATAAATCTTGGGTTTGTTTGGAACCAGTCCAAGAATCTGCTACTACTGTGTTTGGTTGTTTTCTTGAATGGTAAGTTAGTATAGTTTACGTTTCCTTTTGTAGTAACACTGGATCAATAAAAGATGATCCTTACTGGACCTCCAGGAAGAACAGTTTAGAACTGATAGAACTATCCAGTATAAATAAAGTTAGTTTAGTTTAGGTTTCCTCCTGTAGTAACACTGGATCAATAAGAGATGATCCTTACTGGACCTCCAGGAAGAACAGTTTAGAACTGATAGAACTATCCAGTATAAATAAAGTTAGTTTAGTTTAGGTTTCCTCCTATAGTAACACTGGATCAATAAGAGATGATCCTTACTGGACCTCTAGGAAGAACAATTTAGAACTGATAGAGCTATCCAGTATAAATAAAGTAAGTTGAGTTTAACACTAGAAAAATAAGGATTCTTTGAACTTGTTTCTTTCTGTACAGGTGGATGGAAAGTCTGTTATCAGAACTAGTCACTGAAGAACAGTGGCAATATTACCTGACCTTACTGACAGACACTGTCTGGCCCAGAGGAGAGCTCATGAATGCAACCAAAGAAGAAATATCTGATGAAGAAAAACTGAAAACGAAAGAAGATGCCATTCAGACTTTGAGTAACTTCTTTGGAGGTAACAAGAAAGGATGGCTTTTTTCGAATGCTTCCACTAGTAATAGACCTTATGCATAATGACCTATCAAGCCATCATGCCTGAAGGTAATTCTGGATTTTGTAGTCATGATGAAAAATTCAAACTTCAAAATTTCCCGCTGTGACTAATAAGACCAGAATTCCCTGCAGGAGTCATAGGTTGTTACATCATAATGCATAAGGTCTATTAAACACAATTTACCATGATGAAACCAAATTTTTAACCATGCAGGTGTCTTTCACACAGTAGTTGGTAAGGATATTATTGAAAGCTCAGCCAGAGAGATTGTGGAATCATTGCAATACTCAGAAATTAATAGGTGAGTTGGAAGGTCTGTGCTAGAGTTTTCTCATGAACCCTCATATCTCAGCCAAAACACGACTTGAAACATAGGTTAGACTGCTAGTAGCATTCATGTCAAAATCTAGACCAGATCATTGTAGTATCACCAGATCTAAACCAGATTATAAGTGTACTGATGTGTGGTCAACTGCAGTACCAATGGAAGCCAATTTCACTAGGGTCTTGGAGTCCCTTACTACTATGTTTCCCCCACTGGAAACTTGTATAATCTAACTCAAAGTTTGCTTTGTGTAGACAATTGTTGTTGGAGGTTTTCGAGGTATTTTTGGCTGAAATTTTTCCAGATTTTCCAGATGAAATGGAGTCTTATCTTTCTGGGAGAAAATGTTGATTGAAGATCTTATTTTGGTTGAGCCAAGGTAAAAAATAACCTATCCTATCCTGAGTGATAAAAATTGTACAGAAATAAATGATATTCTATTTATGAAGTGTAAATGAAATGGCATTAATTAAAGAACAAAAATTATCAGTGCAATAAAAATGTACAAATTTAATAGGATTTTTAATTCAATGTTTATTTTTTATTTTCCTTGTTTTTATTTTACTTTCTTTGTGATTATGCGGCTGTTTTCTTGAACTATCCTTTATAACCTTTGCATCTTTGAGCAAGCTCCGGGCGCAATTATTGATGTGTTTAAACCTGTCTGGTCCCAAAAGAATGCCCCCGTACCATCTGGATACAACAATTAAATAATTCTGAACGTTTAAAATCTGCAACAAATGTAAAAGTCTCGATCCTCCGTTGTTTTCGCCATCATCATCACAGTCTTGAATGACAACCTGAGAATTTTCCTTCGCTATTCTGTAAGCAGAGATGTTGTGTGATGCGTTTGCAATTTTACGAGTCTTTTTCAGCTCGTTTAAAACATCTTTGACATCCTGTTCAGAGTTTACTTTAGCAAGGTGTGCTTGGAATGTGCTCTTTCGATCCGTAATTGGTTCCCCGTGAAGGATCTCCGGTTGGTCCTTGTCTGTTTGCCAGGTTATTGACGGCGGTACGCTTGACGTACCATGAGTACTTGTTTGGTCAAACATAGGAGGGCTTCCATGATCATCATCCGCAACTTCATTTGCATCTTCTGTCGTATGTCAAAAAAGTTAAAAAAAGGTTTAGCTTCTGTACTTAAATGATGCTGTTTAGCATCATGAATTGGTCAAAGGTTATCAAGAATAAGTTCATTAACATACAAAAACTACTCAAGAGCACTTGAATTCACAGGCACATGATGCAAGTTTTTTTGGCTGATGAAACAGAATGTTGGCAATATTTTGGCAAAAACTTTTAGAAAGCAGCAGTGTGGTGTGTATAACTTATGATATATTTGCATATTCTTGCAGCACAAATATTCATACCAAAATATGGGGGATTGAGCCTGCTGCAAGATCTATTTTACTTTAGATTATCCAGCAAAACTCAAAAAAATTTATAAAAATGCTATTCGATTCAGTTATTTGTATATGAGGTAAATGAGCGGGTAATCTATATCACTAATATCAAATTGTTGAAAATAAGCTTCTGTAGTCCTTATATAGTAACATGTTACATTTATTGTATCAATCAATATTTCATGATAATATTGATTGATACAAATAAATGTAACAAATATATAATTAATTAACTACAGTAATGGAACAATCGCCCACCTCCATATTCGTCTCCGTACAAAACTGATTTCTCGTTCATGAAGTCTCGAGCTGCTTCGACCCACTGAAACACGACACATTCGTCCTTATTGTCGCGGTAGATTTCATACAGTTTATCCCTCAATTCAAACTCATCACAATCCCCGAGCCAGGTACCGTGTACCTCGAAAACCGGGGGCACGGAACTCGGGTAGTTCTTCGGCAGCAATACCTGTAGTGTCAGGGACCACCATGAGTTCTCTTCGTGGCGAACGCGCACATCGAAAAGCTTTTCCGTTTCGTTCACCATCAAGAAATCGTCTCCGTAAATCGCAGATAGGGCTTCAATCTCATCGCTTTGTCGAGAGCTGTCAGAGTCGGTCATTTTTTAAAACCAAGTCTTTTCAACTCGATTATTCGCTATAATGTTTCTGCAGAAGCTTGTCTGGAAACGGTTGATTCTCGTGAAGAACTTTCCGCCCTCTTTTGAACTTCTATAGGAAGTTTAAATACACGTAAGCAAACTGCATTTTCTTGTTGACATACGTACTTCTTTCACGTTCCGTTCACGCGCTGTTGTTTTCAAGTGCGCGGGTTTGCGCGCGCCACTCGTGAGCCCTGATTTTAAAGCAGGTAGATCATTACCCGCGAGGTGGGTGTCGGATTGCACACTGAGCTATATGCAATATAATGTTGAGTGAGTTGCACGAAATTTTGAGAGAAATTTCAGAAATTCTTAAGCAAAATCGAGGACAAATAACCGAAGCTCGGGTAATAATTTATAAACGTTGTTTAAAAATGAACGACAAACCGCTCTTCTAAAGCTTTTACGATAAAATACTCGGTTGTCGCTGTACAATGTTGACGTGGATAGTTCTTTGTTTAAATATTGCTTTTGTCTTTTATTACATTGTCTTTAATTATATATTTTCAATCATTTTATTTATTTTTTATTTTTTTCATTTTTCCACTTTTACACATTTGTCACCAGTCTTCTATAAGTCAAAACAAAACGCGGACGAAGCCGATGAATAAATATGGCCGTTCCTCTGCCTGCGAGAGTCTTGGGTCTTTGGAGCGTAACGCTGATCACAATCATATTTTTAGTTGTTCGAGCGGACAAGGAAAGCGATTGGAACTTTTTTGTTGTATTCACCCCGGTTTTAGCGTACAATGGCATTGCAATACTCGTTGTTATGTCGAGAATTGTAAGACACTCACGAAGACAATTTCACGATGACGAACAAACGGTGATACGGAAGTTTTGGTTTCTACTACTTTTGATATTGAGTTTTATCTTAGTTTGCCTCATGTGTAGCAAGGTTCATGGAAATGTGACATTCTCGTGGTACTACGTTTTTCTTGTGTTTTGGATATTGCTTGGTTTTATACTGGCAGACACGACCAGGTTCGTGTTAAAAGAATTGTCGACGAGTAGATAGCAAGGTTTCTGTCGGGGGAAACGTTGTGGCAAGTAATTTGCTGGTAACTCAAATCCTACGCTGGCTAGGCGAGTTGGTTTCGTTGGGAAATGTGATAAAACTCAAGAAATGCCTACAGGAAACGACGCAATCTGATAGGAAAACAAATTATTAGTGTTGTCAAATGATTATGCATGGTTATGGCTGTGCCCTATCCCTTGCTATGGTGGAAGTATGGAAATATAATTTCCATAAGTTCACATCAACATTACGTTTATCAGAGAGTGCCTACACTTGCTTTAAAACATCGATAAAGGTGAAAGAATTGAATGCTATGTTCACACAAGTGTCACTTTCAAGCATTTTCACAAATCCTTTGTGTCTTGTTTTCTTGCCCAGCTGAAAACATAAAACATGAGGAAAATGCGCAATATATCAAATTAGCTCCACCTTCTATCGTAAATGAACAGTGTTTGCAATCATTGTAGCATGAAAACAAAAATGAAAAAGCTTAAAAACAATCCCATGTGAACGTAGCCAAAGTCAATATCTTGAGTTTGTTTCCGGCTGTTTCCTGGTATACCAGATAACTGGAATATAAACATTAAGGCCTGTTTACACTTGCAATTTTTGCTGCGATTTTATATTGTGATTTTCCTCTTTTGATAGATGTGAACGAGTGAATTAGTTACTGATGTTCAAGTAAGAACTCTTATACATCAAAGCATTCTTGACTAATTGCTTGTTCACATCTATCAAAAGAAAAAAATTGCTCATAAGATCGCAGCAAAAATCGCAAGTGTAAATAAGCCTTTAGACTTTTGGCTATAGTTATCCAAGTTATTAATGAAGACAGTATTTCATTTGCTCATATATTGAGAAAGGGTTGTTTTTTAGCCTTTGAAAGCTTATCAACAGCAAACAAGCTTGTGGTTGATCAGAATTTGTTAATTTATTCTCATTTATAGAATATTTATAGGATATCACAATATTTTGCAAAATTTCAAATCTAAATTATTCTCTATCCAAGTCATGAACGAGATGCATGTGGCTATAAGATTTAACAGCAACATGATATTGTAAAATAGGAGACTAAGTGAAACACAATTTAAGTGTGACAAAGTGTAAATTATTTTGTAGATTTATATTGAAAAAGAATGTTTATTTGTTAGAATAGTTTGAAATTATTGGCCATACAATTACATGTTAACACGATCACTAGTTTAGAAAACATTTTGTTAACTACTGAATTAGGTAGTGGTATTTTAACATGATCCATGAGACAATCCCCAAGTGGTCCTTAAGAGGTGGGGGTTTGTAGACTGTATGCCAGAGATTTCACAGGTGATAAAAGCTGCTCGCACATAAATGCTTTGCATGCAAAAAACACTCTTAGCAACTAATGAACATATCAGTGACAAATAAGACAAGTGCTCGTTTGGTGTTTGGAAAGTGACGTGTGTTCAATCCATCCATATCCATCGTCATACCCAAGGTCTCCTGGGCACGGAGAGAAACCGTGGGTACAAGGTTGTCCCAGTGGTTGTCCTGTATCTCAGATGCGAGATTGAGGATTTGCGGGGGGGGGTCTGTCACTTTTAGCCAGTGAATTCCTACAAGCGGGAAATCTTTTTCATATTCAATTACACGAAGTGGAAACAATTTCTTGAAAGAAGCAAAGATGGCGGACGCCAGGAGTGAATTCCACGTGTGGTTGTGTTCACGATTAAAAAGTCTAAATCTTGACGAAGAAGTTCTCGGAGAATACATCTCAGGCATTTTAGATGGCGATGATTCGACTCATGAAGAAAAATACGAAGCCTTGCAGGAAACAATGGAAGGAATGATGGTACTTTAGACTCTGTGGTCTCTGTCTTTGTATGGAAATAAGTTCTAACCGATAATTTCATCCTTAATAATATTTTTTTTATTTAGGAGTCGCCTGATGCGAATGTTACTTTAAGTATATTTGAAAAGTGGAAGGAATTTGAAGATCAGAAAGAAAAACTCAAACAAGAGAGTAAGTTGGAACTCAAATCCCCATTAAACTCCAGAATTAATGTTTTAAAGCATTTTTGGCTCATTTTTATAACTCAAAGTATCAGAAAGTTTATGTTAAGATCTGTTCGGTTCTTGTATTTGTATCCAATCTTGTACAATCAATTTACTTCTGGCATATGGAATGTAGTCTGTTATTAAGAAAAGAAGTACTGGAATGCCTTTTATTAGTTTTATGGTCCAGGAATTGCCACTTATCTAGACAAATGTGTTCATTATAATTGCCAGCTTATGACGAAACCAAACTAAACTTAATTTTGTATCAGAGAACCAGAAAGAAGATATTCTGGCTGCAGTTGTGGAGAAACATACCAAAGCAACAAACGTCAACAAGAAACCATCACATCAACTTGATGAAGATGTTAAAAAGAGTTTGATTGCACAATATGGACAGGAATCTGATGAAGATTACTAATATCCTTTGAGTAAAAGTCAATATAAGTCCTATATACTATTTCCATCTTTTGAATTGGTGTTTTGTAAGGAAGACGATTTACTTTTTTTCCAAATTCAAAGGCTTGCCTTCTAATAAGCTTTGAAAGATTTCTCCTTGTTTACTTTTTTTTTCCCAATTCAAAGGCTTGCCTTCTAATACGCTTTGAAAAGTTTCTCCTTGACAAATCTTACTTCAAGCAGTGGTGAGGAGACCCAGACAAATAAAACACAACAATTAGAAAAGGCTTTAGGTGAGTGAAAATGTATTATTCTTGCCAAGAGCAGTCTTAGTAAACAGTCTTCAACTAAAGCTTTTAGAATGGACATGCAACTTTGAACTTTAGTCTATTTTATTTTGCATATATGCAGTTGAAGTTGTTCTTTTCATCCATTTCGGATGGCACTTGGGATTCACTGTTCTCATTGACTGACCAGTTTTCACACAATGTTCCAGGATTATTTGAGAACACAAATGCCAAGTCTGTTTTGGATAAAGAAAAGGAGAAACGCGACAAGCAACGACAGGAGAATGAAGATAAGAAGGTGAAGAACAAGGAAGACCGGGAAAAACAAAAGGCAAAAGTGGAACAAAGAAAAGACAAGGAGAAAAAACGAACTCAAAAGGGGGAGAGAAGGAGGTAGCATAAGCATTATGAAATCGGATTTCAGCCAAGGCCTTTAATTGGCTAAGAACAATTTCTTTTGAAAACTAAAATGAAAAATGATATTATGAGAAGAGTTAATTATATTGTTAGTAAAATCACTGATCTGATTTACACTGGTTGTAGCAACTGCATAAAAATTAGCCATAGTCAACCCCCATTAGCTTGCAATGCACCCAGATGAACCTTGCTTTACTTAGTACTTAATTCTGTCTAATATCAGATTTTACTCATCATTAGAAGAGTAATGTCAGTTGATGAGTTAACAAAACTATCTATGATTTTGCTCATCAGTGGAAGGATACTGTCAGTTAATGACTTTTGATGACCCAATGAAGATAATTGCTACATCATGTGAAATCCAGAAAGAGTGTTTTCAAGTTATAATGACGTATTATAATATCGTCAGCTTGTTATTGTTTATTTAGAGGGCCAATATGGAGGTAGTATTTATTTGTAATTTTTTATCAGTATAGTTGTTTATACCAAGTGTATTATCAGATCAGGGATGAGAATGGGCAATTTTTTTAAAAGTGCCCCAGAGAGTTTTTTTATGGGAACTACATCAAACATCCTTCCCAAAAGTGGAATTACTAGTGGAATATACCCTCGTTATCACACGCACGAAAACGAGGCTTGTACTATACATAATTAATTGTTGATGTCTACAAAAAGTTATTACCGATATTTGGGTCCCCTGTCTAAACAGTCTGAAGTGTGGCAATATTTCTTGGGGGGGAATATGTTTATTTAATATTTTCTAATAACAAGTGCCATAAAAACAAATCAATAGACTTTGTATATTTGTTGAAAAGGAAGTGTTAATTTTGCCCTCTACTCCATAATGGTGTGAAAATGTGATAGCGTGAAGTAGATTTCTTAAGGACGAATTTTACATAAGCATCGATTTGCATCTTCAAGTATTCATCGCGTGTGGAACAGCTGTAAGCCGGCATGACCCTAATCGTGTTTTGAACTTGTTAATAAAGATCGAAACACAGCTTGTGTTTGCTGTTCAATTAACACTACGTCGTTTTAAAAAGGGAACTTGTGTTAAAAGGCAAGAGTATGGATGAAAATCCACGGTTATTGGTGCGGTCTTTGAGGAGAAGTCGAAGCGGAAAACTAGCATTACAAACGGCGATAATTCATTTGTGTTGTTCCGTTGTCTGTATTATAATCGGGATTTTTTCAATGGCGATAGTAAAAAGTCGGACAATCGAGCAAGTTTATGGACTGCCTTTGTGGATTGGTCTGTTGGTGAGTCGTATTTTGAGCACCGTTTTTGTGTATATATAAAATACGTTTATGAATCTCTTTAAAAGCCATATAAAAAACCCAGAATGTTTACACTTTGGTTACAGAATTTCGAAGTAAACGTGCACTCGGGTTTCAACCTTCAATTATAACTGCGTTTCAAATAGAAATGATTCGGAGAAAAAAGTGAATTGTTTGAAATTGATACGGTGTGTTTTTAGAGGGTTCTTTATGATTTTCCCACATTTTGTCGCTGTTCGCTCTTGAAACGTGAGTGTGTCCCCTAATGTGGCTAATTGCAAAGCACCGTCCACTTGTCCATGTCTGACCTATAATACTTTCATTCTTTTTAATGGCTTTAATGACATCTCGATTTTTCTCATAGCTGCTTTTAACTGGGTTCTCTGGGGTCCAATGTCATGTAAAGAAAACAAAAATCTTCGTAAGTCTTTTATATTTTGGCCTATTGTAAGTTTAAAAGTGTTGATTTACCATCAAATTGAATGCTAATGAAGGCTTGTGGTCATTTAATTTTAATAGCATGATCATTACAGCCATTTACACTATTGAGAGCAGTTGGATACAATTGTCCTTCAGATGTATTAAAGCAAGTGCTTTTGACATATTTTCATGTGATCATGTTTATACTCTTTGAAAGCAAATTTTGAAATGAATCACATGCCCTGGATACAAAGTATTGTGTTAACAAGCCTTTAAAATTGATAAAGAATTTGCCTTTTCTTGTATAATAGTTCATTTCCTCATATTTTTGCATATTCCCATTTGTTGCTTCTGCATTTTGATATTGCCTTATTCCCAAAGCAAATATAACAGACAGTTTGTTTCATATTTGCTTGAAATAAATATTTTAGGCAGGACTATATATGGTGTTGTCCTTGCTCTCCATGTTCACCAATCTTATTGGCATCGCTTGGATGTTGAGCACAATGAAAAAATCCGAAGTTGTTGTCATATGTTTGGTTTGCGTGTCAACATTCGACATGGGTATTGCGTGCTTGTCCACCGCCATGGGATGCAACATATTACTAGAAGACTGCAAAATATGCAAGGTCAGTGGCTGTGGCAAGTCACAAAGTGGGTAAACTAACAGCTATTGGGGGGAGGGGATAGCTTGGGAAATAAGCATAGGGGTGCATTTCTGGTCAATCATGACTGATGTTTGTGGTAATTTGGTTTTCAACACGTTATGTCTTGGATAATGTATTTTAGCATCATGGAAGAGGCAGGAGTGCTGATGACTCTCCAAACAACACAACTCCATTGTCCAGACCATGTGTTGAATTACATCAGGTAGTTGTTTTATTACCCATATTTATCCCTTTGTAACACCTATTTTACCCCCTTTGTCACCCCTATTTTGCTCCACTTGGTTCCCCATTTCATCTTTTGTTACGTACCCATTTTACCCTTATTTCTCATCCCATTTCAGGATACTGATAGACAAGACTCACAGGAGAATGTTCATGTGTCAACTCGACCAACAAGACAGGCTCGATACACACGACCCAGGCCTGGGGATGAACCCCCACCATACTCTGAAGTCTTGGGGCCACCTCCACCATATTCCCCACCTTCCACAATAGTATAAATTTACTGTACAGTTCTCCCATATTTCAAAGTACCAACCTGCACCATGAGGTCATATTCCTAGGGGTGTGTTGCCCCTTGCCCTTTTTATTTACCCCCATGTTAATATTCTCAGGGTATACCCCCCAGCTGAGCTTATTATCCCCCATCTCCCAAAAAACCAAGCAATGTTTTTTATATATAATCGTAACATAGAATACTTTAACATCATTAAGGAGAAATATTGTAATTTGGAAATAACAAACGCTACAGCATGATATAAAGTTGTATATATATAGACTTATTGAATATTGTAAAGGTAAAATAAGAAAAATAAAATTGTATTAAAAGTTCTGTTTTTTTCCAATTGGATTGTAAGAGCATAAATCATTGTCAAATTGTCAAATTTTGTCATATATGAAAGTGCATAATTTTCGTTTTATCGATTGTGCTTGATGTAAATAAAACTTATAGAAGCTATTCAAAATAAGCTAGGCGCACGAGCGTTGTTTTTGAGCGTTTTTTAAATCTGCGTTTAAATCTACGTTGTTTTCGAGCGTTTTTGTCTATTTTATTGCTTTGTCCACACAAAATATGCCTAATTTGTTAAATTAGCTTCAACTTTTATTGTAAATTGACAGTGTTTGAAACCGTTTTGGAATGAAAACGAATGTGAAAACGCCCGAAAACGTGTGCACATAGCCTTCTTGATTCTTTTGAAATCTAAACAATGCGACAACAATTAACTAGTCGAAATTAGAAATTCCTCAGTTTGTAAATACCCTGAGGGTTCTGTCCAAATAGATGGTTCAGACAGCAGCCAATCACGGTCAAGTATTTCTAAAGGCATCCAATCAGAGCTCGTATAATGAACAGCGCTCGGCCAATTAGGAGACAAAGGAGATGCAAATTGGCGGCAAAATTTGTATTGGGACAAGAAGAGCGAAGGTATTGTTGAATGTAAAGACGATTTACAGAATAACTTTTATCGCTCTTCTCCGTGTAAATAAACTTACGAGATGGTAAATTGGTCGTTCCTTGTCTAAATCGACAGGTTAGTGTCAGTAACCTATCATTGCTTAGATGAAACGTCCTAATTTGCGCTCGTCTGTGTTAGTTCAATACATATTAAGTAAAGTACAAACTTGTAAGTAGAGTACAGAGGTGCTTATCGTTTACCTTGGCAAGTCGGAGAAGCAAATGGTACAAGGCATTATCTCAGCAAACATGCGAACTCTCCGGTGAAAATTCTGTGTACCATTTTAATTTTTCCAAGCGGAATTTCCGACTCCCCAAGGTGAACGGTACGCACAGTTGAGCGAACGTGTAAACATGGGCAAACAGATTATTCAGGCGAATTTGAATAAATAGTTCATCATCATTTCCAAATCCCATGCACTTTCAGACTTTCTATTCACGCTATTCTGTTCCTTCTGACATATTTGTCTGTGACATAGTTCGTCTAGATAGTTTTGTCCTGGGTTTAAACTCAGCCATTTGGGCAAACGGATAATTCTTCTCTAGTATTAATCGTGCGATTGGTACCTTAAGGCTAATTTCCACTCAGGATAATTCTCTTCTGGATCGGACAGGACAGGAAAGACTCCTTTGTATAAACGCCGCCTGAGAACTCACCGACAAAGGAAATTTTCCTGTCCGTTCTGATCCAAAGGAGATTTTTTCTGAGTGGAAACTAGCCTTTAAGCACTGCACAGATAATATTTGGTACCGGTTCCAAACAATAGTGTAACCGAGGTCTCAAATTTCGAGGTGACTGAAATAACCGACGATTTAAAATAATTTCTATCTTTATTTGCAAATTATTTTGCAAACTACATTTATGTCAGTGTTTTAGCGTGTAAGTTACGCTTTTCCGCACACACAAGGAATATTAAATGCTTGGTATATTTTTCATTTTAGATGGATGACATCTAGATGTGCTTCTCTTGCAAAAAATAATAATTAAAGACGCATTGTGATGTCGTATATGGATGCTCCCATTATTGCGATGGATAACGTTGAATTGACACGGACAATTGTGTACAACGAAAGTCGAATTTCGGGTGGTTAAAGAGATGACTGTCCCAAGGTTAGATTGAACTGCTTTCTATTGTCTTGCTCATTCAATCCAATTTTGGCTGTTCCAATCCACCATTGCATTTTCAATAATATGCACCCGTAAGTGACCGGGAAAAATCCGGACAACACGCGCGCAAAAAAATGCAACGACCGGGGAAACACCGACAAGAAAATGCGCGCGCAACCAAATGGAACTTCCAGCAGAAATACGCGAAAAATAGAAGCGCGCGGATTGAAGGAAAAATTAAACGTGTTGCAAGAAGCTACAAAATAGGACCCTGATCTTCATACGATTATGGATTGTCATCTTTATTGGGTTGACTAGGAAAACTGAGTGGTAAATACATTGCCAGAAAAATGCATGCCAACCAAAGTATGCGAAGGCTTTTTAAGCTTTCTTTTAAATCCAACAAATGAAATTAATCATAAGAGTGTAGTTTCAAAGGATGCTTGGTATATCTACATTAGTATTATGTAGAAGGAAATTCCATGGTCCTGCAACAGGCATCTTTTAGGAAGTTCCAATATAACCAGGGAGCAGCGTGGCAGCGTCTTCGAACAACTCACCAAATGTGGTATAACAATTGCCTAAAATAGACAAAACACTTCTCGACGTTTCCACCTGAGGGCCTTCGTCATGAGAGTTAATATCATTTGTCATTATCAGTTTGTCTATTTTAGGCAGTTATTATACCAAATTTGATGATGCTAAAATCTTTTAGGAAGGTTTTCAAGCATTACACATATAATCCAAATAAGTAGAATCCTTATATTCGGCAAATTTTTACAACGCTGTTAAAATTCATTAAATTTTGGCTCCCAGCGAGGGCAATTTTAAATTTCAATTCCATGTAACATATTACGATTTTCAAAAGTGTTTTGATCATTAAATTGGCTGCCACACGAATATGTTGTAAAATTTTTGATGTTAGCGAACAACCCGTGTTGTTCAGATCGAGTTGTAGTGGTGAAATAGAATCGTAGAAATATTATTCGAATATAAGGGTCAAAAATAGCGTTTGCAAAGGATAGTAAGTGTATCCTGAGGCAAATACGAGCGAACTATGGCAATGGAAGGAGCAATTGATTTTTGTGACCGCGCATAAAGGTAATTATTGCCAATTTGCCATGGTTTAGGTCAAAACCTTGAGAGGTTTTGGTTCATTAGATTAAGCAAATCTCGCGATTTAGATAATAGGATAGCAAATATAATAGACCAAGTTTGAAGTATGAATGCAAACAATATTCCGTCTGTCTTTTATTAATCTTTATCACGCAGTTGTATAATAAGCAACTTAACTTGTAATATAGTTATATGCAAATCATCCTATAACCCCACCGCCTATGCACACTCCTTTTCCTGTACATTCTCCCTCTCTACTTATGAGCACACCTCATTTTCTTGCACGTACAGCGTTTGGCATGGCCTCGCCTGGATATTCGCCCGAAATATGGTATTGCTTCCTAAACTTTCATTCTCTGATATTGTTTAAGAAATGTTTAAGTGTTTATCTTAATATGGCTAAAAGTAATTAATTTTTAGACATCCACCCGCAAGCCAACTTAAAATTAAAGTCGATATTTCGGTTCCTAAAGGTGCTTTTAATAAAATAGCCGAAGCAACACAACTATTTTTTAATCGTTGATAGCGTAACGAAACGGCTAAGAATTCTTACTTAGTTCGAGGTGTAAACTAGAGAAAGAAACTGATAAACAAATATAGATTGGAGCGGTTTATGCAGTGGGGAATGCAAAATATGTAACGCAAATATTACCCAGGAAGTCGTGCGGGAAATAATAGATTCTTGCAACAACCGTAAAATATTAATCACTTTCCTGAATTTCGTGATAACCACATGACAACCAGCAAATATCTTTTCATGAAATACTGTTTTTATCGTGTAAATCTTTGCCGGGAAACGTGTCGATTTTCGTCGCTTTTTTATTAGAAGTATAATGCGACGACGGGTCTAGGTTATTCAGACACCTTAATTGTAACTTAACTGTGCGTATACCCCCTCCCCCTCCTAGATCGCGCGAGACCCCTCCTCTTTGCATGGGAATTCTCTCATTTATACTGTATTCGCATCGTATCCTGGAGCCCCACTTCATATTCGTTCAACACCCACATACCTCCACTACACATTCTCCGCCAGTAAGTACACCCCTCGTGTATACTGCATTCCCACCGTATTTCGGCTAGAACCCCACTTTATTAAATCCCCACATACCTCCACTACACACTCTCTCTCAGTACTCCCCTTCATGTATACTGTATTCACACCGTATCCTGGGACCTCATTTCATTAACCCCCTCCCATGACTCCACCATACACTCTCCCTCAGTACGCCCCCTCCACGCCCTCCTTTCTCCTTTACGCTGTATTCACACCTAATCTTTCTACGTGCACCCTTGCCATGCATCTTCTCACTCTAGACGCAGACGTTTATATCGCAAAATGTCTGCAATGTAAAACCACCAGCAATGACCTGTCTCTGTTTACAAAATAATGGAAGCCGGTCCATAACGTATTTTAACGCTTCGCAACCTCTCAAAGATATACAATTAGTTGTAGAAGATTTTATACATCAAATATACGCCTAAAAACCAGCCCGAGTTTGGGCCTAACGCTTTCTATGGTCTTCAGAAAGCCCAGCCATCTTCTGGGAACCTTTTTACAAGTAAGCTTCTCACAAATGTTATCCAAATGTTGTCTTAACGTTTTTGTATTTGCTGTATACATAAATTATAACAAGGACGACGTTTATCCTCGTCGTTTCTAGAGATTTAACAGATATTTATATAAAGTAGATAAAAGTACCTTCATCAAACTATATTAATGTTTTACCATTTTCGGTTGCAAGCGCAGGTTACGCGGAACACATTTATTGCCGTTTGTAAATCAATTTTAACGAGTTTACATCGGTATATTGCCCGACATACTTGCGGTTTGCAAACCTTTAAATCGCATTCCAAAAACTATGAAAAAAGGGGCAAAACTTTGCCAGAAAGAGCGTTTGTTATACATTCATGTATATCCGACGTGTTTGTCAGCATTCTCCTGGCGCTCTGCCCGAGATGTAAGTTTTTACACTGAAGAAACCAGGTTAATTTGGTAAGGAACGCTCTCAGAAGGCCGAGTTTAACTATTTGTGGTTTGAGATTACTTTTGATAAATGCGCGTGCACACAAGAGGTATATTTAATCGCCGTTAATGGAAGCAATCTTGTAATCTAATTATAATGAAAGCTAGCTTCACCGTGCGGGATACAATTACAAGAAAAATTTGAATGTCTCACATCAATTTATGCAAGTATTTTTATACCTTCTACTTAATTTATTCTAATACTATATATGTATGCTCAATAATAATGCTTTATTTAGATATATTCAGACAACATATATTTCCTATAGTTTACACCGTCAAAGTTTCTGCCATCACAGTTGGAATTTTGCATAAGAGTTTCCAATGTTTTTCTAAAGCCTACTGAGGCTAATATTTGATTAAAAAGAAACCGCAGCGATTAACTTTGATTCGTGCGATTTATTAAGATTTGCCAATGAAGAGCTCCATCTGTGATTCCAGGATCTCTGGCAGTGCGATCCCGATAGCTCTATTTAAAATCTGGGACCGGTTGTTTGAAAGGCGTTTAGCTTAAACGGCGGATAAGTTTAAAATAGAAAACAAAATTATCTCTTTATTGGATAAATGAGCTGAAATATTACGATGAAAGTATATATTTAATGCTTAAAATGCAGGTTCAGTCATTCACAAGATGTATGAGAGTATTTTTAAATTTTTGCTTATCCAACGTTTAAGCTGAACACCTTTCGAACAACCGGCCCTTGAACTTAAATTTAGCCGATCAGGCTTGAATTTTGAGATTATACAGTTCTGGGGCTGGTTGTATCAAGCCCGTTTAGCTTAAACGGTGGATAAGTCAAAATTAAATAACATTCTTACATCTCTCTTGAATGAGTCAACTTGAATATTATGCACTGAATATGCAGTTGTAAACAGTATCTTTGTAATTAGAGTTAAAAACATTTAGTTTGCTTGTTGAATAAAACGACAGACTTGCTTTCTATTTTGAACTTAACCACCGTTTAAGCTAAACTGGCTTGATATAACCGGTTCCTGGATTAGATTTTAAATAAAACACTACAGGGTCAATTCAGTCAAAATTTATAAGGACTGATTTTGATTATTGGCCTTCTCAAAAGCCTTCACAGACTCACAATCATCAAACCAAGCCATCTGGTCACTTTCACTTTTTTTTTAGTTTCATACATAAAGGCCTCTGACCACGATGCTTGCAGACGCAAGCTTCATAGTCTCCAGTCCAGAAAACGAGCAATACCCAAATCAGCATCAACCAAAAGTACTTAATCTTCGTCGTCAGAGATCGCGTTACCTCGATCCGACGAGCAAACGCATCACGCTAAACGTGAACGGAACACGCTACCAAACGTACGAGGAAACGTTAAGCACCTTTCCCGACACGTTACTCGGCAGTCCAACGAAACGAAACCATTTCTATAACGAACGCACGGAGGAGTACAATTTGCCGCGGAGTAATGGCTCTTTCGACTCCATTTTATTCTATTATCAGTCACGCGGGATTCTCGCGCGACCGAGTACAATCTCAGTCAAAGATTTCGACGAGGAACTGCAGTTTTATCAAATCACGAATCCAGACCCCTTAGCGGTTCTGCTGCGCGATGATGACGTCAATGAACTGGCGACTCCAGTGGTAGGAGAGACCTTTAAGGAACGCATGTGGGTGATTTTAGAGTTCCCTCATAGTTGTCGGCTGGGTCAGATCATTGCACTGATATCTATCATCGTCATCGTATTCTCAATCGTGATATTTAACATAGAAACTCTGGCGACGCTTCGGAAGAAACAAGATAGTGATCTCTGGTTCGCTTTTGAAACGACTTGCGTCATTTGGTTCACGGGAGAGTATCTTTGCCGCTTATATTCCGCTCCACAACGACGCGTCTTTGTTATGTCCGCGATGGGGATTGTGGACCTGCTTGCGATCCTGCCTTTTTTCGTTACGTTGTTTTTCAAAAACGAGCTCGAAGACGTGCGCTCGTTTCTGGTGATGCGTGCTTTGCGTTTGTTTCGCGTTTTGCGCATTTTCAAACTGTCACGCTACAGCGTAGGATTTAAGATTCTCCTGAACACGATTGTCGATAGCGTTGAACAGATGCGCCCGATCTTATTTTGCACAATTATTGCCGTTGTCGTGTTCGGCAGTGTCGAGTTCATCGTTGAAGGACCAGAGGGTGATTTCATGAGCATCCCCCACAGTATGTGGTGGGCCGTTCAGACTATGAGTAGCGTGGGGTATGGTGACATTGTACCCGAGACGGTCCTGGGACGGTTTGTTAGCGCGCTCTGTGCGATCAGCGGTATTCTGCTTTTTTGCCTCCCCACCCCCATACTGGTCGCAAACTTCCTAAAACACTACACACACGCGTTTCTTAACCCGCAAACCCAGGACAAACTGGGTGAAACGCAGAAGAAACTAGTGGATAATATGCAAAGAATTTATCTCTCGTCAAATAGATAGCTGTCCACCGTTGACAGAGATCAGTATTATAGAGGAATTTGCTAGTTTTTTGTTCAACATTTTAGGGATCTCTATTGAGCACAATGTTTTTTAATTGTTTAATAAAATAGCGCGCGCTGGTTGAGTTTTTTTATCGAGTTGTTTGGAAGAGGTTTCATCTGTGCATCCGATTTGTCTTTTGTGATTATGAAACTGCATTAGCGCGCTGTTACACTATGCAACTTTCCTTGCAACTTGCAATGCAATTCTACTCCATTCTAAGCATCTAAAGTTGTCAAATACGAACATTTCTTACGATTTGCTAACGTTTTCTTAGCATTTAATCACTTCTTACAAGTAAACATCCCTCAAAATTATGATTGCATTGCAAGTTGTAAAGAAAATTGCATAGAGTGTATACAGCGCCTTTCCATTGGCACAGTCTAATTTCTTATCCGTGCCAAAGAGCCTGACTGATGAAATGATTCCTGCCGAAGGATCGATAGTTCAGATATTTTCTGAAAAAATTTCTGGCTTAAATTTAATGATTTCAACGCGAACAAGAATCTTTAACCCTTTTCAAACTCGGGGTTTAAAGGGTCTTAATTTCGACTGAGTGGTATTATACACACTTCAAATTCAAGCCAGGAACAGTTGATGGAAAAATGAAACTATTCAACATCCAGTGAAGTGCTACAAAATCTTGATTCAGTTGTCCCTGCTTGACACTGATTTGATGGCGCTACGGAAAATATGTATCTTTGCCAGCTCAGCAAATTCATATATACCTTTTAATACGCGGTAAGATTTCTTACCACATTTTTGTCGAAAATAAATGAAACGGTAATAATAGACCTTTTTCATAGTGACGTCAAACGCAGAAAGTCGACTCTGATGCATATGTTACACGAAATTTGATTGGCTCCTCAAAACTATCGTGTAACCTCAGACTTTCCGCGTTTAAAGTCATTATGAAAAAGGTCTATTATTACAGCTCGCAATGCAAGTCACAAAGGCCGCCTTTTTACAACAATTTCAAAGCAATTGCTCGCCGGATAATATTGTTATGATTCCGGCAACACGTTGTACAAAATAACTGCTGGTAACCTGTCATTGTGCTTTCATGATTCCATTAAGTATTTAAGATCTAATTCTGTCGTAATTTCATGCCGTGGGCGATAAACTAGCAACTGGAACGTGAATTAACCATTCAACGAACAGATGATCGATGTACCCTGAAGCTTGACTTAATGTTTTGAGCATCTTCTGGGGAAAACATAAGAGCTAGCGCTTAGAGAAAGGTTTTCTCTAGACTTGATGAAAAGAAGATTATTGTTCTTTGTTTAGGCAGAGTAAGAAAGGTATGTTTTTTTTTCTATACGGGTTACTACATGGAATTATATTTTGTCAATAAAATCAAAGTTCCCAGTAGATATTTGTACATTGTAACAACCTTTAAAAATAGGTCAGTTTTTTGTACTATATTAGAAAAATGAAATAGAACGTTTTAACGGTGCATATAGAAATTTAAGGTATTCCTCCATGGTGGTAACTCAGTTTTATCATTTTTAATATAGTTTATTTATTTGTTTGCCAAGCACTCAATTTGCTGTTATTTCAGGTAAACTGTGATTCTGTCTGCCGAATGAAGATTTTGCGACGCAAAAGCATCTTTTTATTCATACTATTTCTTGGACTTTTACCGTTTCTCCTTCTGTGGCTCAATAACCGCATCGTAAAGCTAGCGAGGGAACGATGGTATGCCGTCAGAGAACGAAGATTGTTGGTCAATACCTCGATCGTGAATCCAACTATACATGTGGATAGTCAAACTCTAGCCACTGTTGATAATAAAGGCGTAATAAAGGCACTAATTCATAGGAAAATACATCAACGCATATCTCTTGGCCATCAACGTAAATCTATTGATCATCAAAATAAATCTATTGCTCATCAAAATAGATCTATTGATCATCAACATAGATCTATTGATCATCAACATAGATCTATTGATCATCAACATAGATCTATTGATATCAACATAGATCTATTGATCATCAACATAGATCTATTGATCATCAACATAGATCTATTGATCATCAACATAGATCTATTGATCATCAACATAGATCTATTGATCATCAACATAGATCTATTGATCATCGAAGTAGATCAAATCATAATCATCGTTTGCGTATTCATGGTCGAACTCTGCCTATCAGTAATGAACGTGGATCTATTAATCATCAACATAGATCTATTGATCATCGAAGTAGATCTAATCATAATCATCGTTTGCCTATTCATGGTCGAACTCTGCCTATCAGTAATGAACGTGGATCTATTGACCATCGAACTCTATCAAGTAATCGTGGAACCCAATTAAAATCCATCGCAAGAAAATTGTTGAAACGCAAAGAAGATCATTTTCAGCAGGCTCAAGATTCTTACTACGGGAAAGGCTGCAAAACTAATTTGTACAGGTCAAGATTGAAAATCATTTTCAACGTCTGGAGGGAGATGGCAAAGCGGAGAAACATCACGAGATATTTTATCGCTTATGGATCGTTTCTCGGTGCTGTTCGGAACGGCGATGTCATTCCGTATGACTCCGATATTGACGTGTGCATATTCAGAGATGAATATCATAAACTTTTCCCAGAAGAATCGAGTCGACCTCTCCACTTAAACGATGGGACAGTTCACTTGCTTTTACAAAGGCATTCCCCCCACCCAAAAGACGACATACCTCGAAAAGACTGCAAAGGAAATATGGTGAAAAACGTCACTGACGACTGCGCGATCCTCGATCCACACGGGAGATTATATGAAAGTCCTTATGTGTACATGGATATCTTTGTCCTCGAGGATTTCCGCTCGGTCGTGTACGATGAATATAAACGTAAGTATTTAAAGCGAGACATCGTATTACCTTTGCGACCGTGTAGGTTCTTAGGAATGTCCACGTATTGTCCCAATGACGCGGCCCGATATTTGACGGCGCATTATGGTGCCACGTACCTGAAACCACATCATATCTGTCAGGGGAAAAGATGGGTTAAGAATATGCCCGATGCAAGACCACGATTGCTGCGGTCATAGATTGTGGACGGGAGGGTCAAAACGACGTGATCTAGAACGGCGAATGAATGGCGTAATGCGGCATATTATTATTATTATTATGCAAATTCTTACTTGAATCTTAATATATTTCAAGAAATAGCTATCAGTGTAAATTGTAATCATGATTCGTTCCAGTTTCATATAAATTTTATAATGTTTTAGAGATGATGTATTGTTTGTATTAGTATTAAATTGTAGTTATTGATTGATTCAAGTAGCCGATTGTAAATTACCTTATATAAGTGAGATTTACAATTGTATATACCCTAAAAACTTATTAATTAATAAAGTTTTCATTATAAGTGGGTTTATTACAACGTTTAATAGCCTAAGCTAAATTACAACGTTCTACAATAAAAATTTAAGCTATACTATGTACATCTAAAATTACATATCTAAAAATGAATTATACAAGTCTATAGTATGGACTAATGGACTATGTCTGCAAGGTTCTGTCCTACAGAAGTAATTATATAGTTTATCTTTGTTAAATCTCGTTTCTTTTTCACTAACATTTTTCACATGTTTTGGCAACAATTTGTGAAGCCGATGATTCGGGTCAATTAAATCTTTAATCAACAATACACATGCTTTATTTCTACGTTCTTCCAGGGTTTCCAATTTACTCACGATTAATTTGCTGCTATAATCCTTATAACCAGTATCCTCCGGATAAATAATATTCAGAGCCCTTCTCTGAACTCTCTCTATATTATCTCTTTGCATCTTTGTAAGTCCACCACTCCGTATCTGCATACCGCGTACTCCAGAACAGATCGAATAACTGCACAGTAGAACATCAAAAGATCCTCAATAGGTGCTCCGTATACCTCCTCAAACTTTTTAAAAAATGTAATCGCTTGGTTGCCTTTTTTACAATATATTCAGTGTGTTGGTCCTCCATTTAAAATCATCATCAATCCATAATCCAAGCAATTTATAGGAGAGTACTCGAGCTACTTGACAACCGCCAATGTTAATCGGTGGTATATCTGTTTTGTTCCTTCGAAAATCAATAATCATTTCCTTACATTTTCCTCCGTTTAACTCCATCATCTCGTCTCTGGTAAATTGAATTACTTTATCCACCCATTCCTGTGAGATTCCAATTGGACTTCCCGATGTATGGGATGATACATCAATCACTTCATACGAGGTGGTGTCATCCATAAACATTGTTACATCTTGTTCCTCAGATGTATTGGGTTTGGATTTCATAGGGAGATCATAAATTTAATGATTTCAACGCGAACAAGAATCTTTAACCCTTTTGAAACTATTCAACATCCAGTGAAGTGCTACAAAATCTTGATTCAGTTGTCCCTGCTTGACACAATTTGACAGCGTTACGGAAAATATATATCTTTGCCGACATGTACCTTTTAATACGCGGTAAGATTTCTTACCACATTTTTGTGTAAAATAAATGAAACGGTAATAATAGACCTTTTTCATACTGACGTCAAACGCGGAAAGTTGGCTCCACAAAACTATCGTGTAACCTCAGACTTTCCGCGTTTAAAGTCATTATGAAAAGGGTCTATTATTACAGCTCGCAATACAAGTCACAAAGGCCACCTTTTACTACAATTTCAAAGCAATTGCTCGCCGGATAATACTGTTATGATTCCGGGAACACGTATGTACAAAATACCTGCTGGTAACCTGTCATTGTGCTTTCATGATTCTATTAAGTATTTAAGATCTAATTCTGTCGTAATTTCACGCCGTGCGGCGATAAACTAACAACTGGAACGTGAATTAATCATTCAACGAACAGATGATGTACCCTGAAGCTTGACTTGAACTTAAGCATCTTCTGGGGAAAACATAAGAGCTAGCGCTTAGAGAAAGGTTTTCTCTAGACTAGATGAAAAGAAGATTATTGTTCTTTGTTTAGGCAGAGTAAGAAAAGGTATGTTTTTTTTCCTATACGGGTTACTACATGGAAATGTATTTTGTCAATAAAATCAAAGTTCCAAGTGCATATTTGTACATTGTAAAAACCTTTAAAAATAGCTCAGTTTTTTGTACTGGCCATATCAGAAAAATGATAGAACGTTTTAACGGTGCATAGCAGTTTAAGGTATTCCTCCATGGTGGTAACTCAGTTTTATCATTTTTAATATAGTTTATTTATTTGTTTCCCGAGCACTCAATTTGCTGTTATTTCAGGTAAACAGTGCTTCTGTCTGCCGAATGAAGATTTTGCGACGCAGAAGCATCTTTTTATTCATTGTCTTTCTTGGACTTTTATCGTTGCTCCTTCTGTGGCTTAATAACAGCATCGTAAAGCTAGCGAGGGAACGATGGTATGCCGTCAGAGAACGAAGATTGTTGGTCAATACCTCGATCGTGAATCTAACTATAGATGCGGACAATCAAAATCTAACCACTGTTGATAATAAAGGCGTAATAAAGGCACTAATTCATAGGAAAATACATCAACGCATATCTCTTGGTCATCAAAATAGATCTATTAATCATCAAAATAGATCTATTGATCATAAAAATAGATCTATTGATCATCAAAATAGATCTATTAATCATCAAAATAGATCTATTGATCATCAAAATAGATCTATTGACCATCGAACTCCATCAAGTAATCGTGGAACCCAATTAAATTCCACAGCCAGAAAAATGTTGAAACGCAAAGAAGGTAATTTTAAGCAGGCTCAAGATTCTTACTACGGAAAAGGCTGCAAAACTAATTTGTACAGGTCAAGATTGAAAATCATTTTCAACGTCTGGAGGGAGATGGCAAAGCGGAGAAACATCACGAGATATTTTATCGCTTATGGATCGTTTCTCGGTGCTGTTCGGAACGGCGATGTCATTCCGTATGACTCCGATATTGACGTGTGCATATTCAGAGATGAATATCATAAACTTTTCCCAGAAGAATCGAGTCGACCTCTCGACTTAAACGATGGGACAGTTCACTTGCTTTTACAAAGGCATTCCCCCCACCCAAAAGACGACACACCTCGAAAAGACTGCAATGGAAGTTTGGTCAGAAGAGTTGCTGACGACTGCGCGATCCTCGATCCACACGCGAGATTATATCAGAGTTCTTATGTGTACATGGATATCTTTCTCCTCGAGGATTTCCGCTCGGTCGTGTACGATGAATATGATTATAGATTTTTAAAGCGAGACATCGTATTACCGTTGCGACCGTGTAGGTTCTTAGGAATGTCCACGTATTGTCCCAATGACGCGGCCCGATATTTGACGGCGTATTATGGTGCCACGTACCTGAAACCACATCATATCTGTCAGGGGAATAGATGGTTTGTGAATATGCCCGATGCAAGACCACGTTTGCTGTGATCATAGACAGATTAGAGAGTTTTAGATTCGACTACGGCCGCTCCCGCTACAGCTGCGAGATTCGTCACTGTGGCGCGAAACAATCGTTGTATGCATACGCCACCTCGTGCTGGCATGATAAAACCACAAAATACCTATCAGAAGAATAACTCTAAGTGACGAATCATGACGAATCACACTTACGAAAAAATAGTATAGAGTTATTCTTCTGATAGGTATTCTGTGATAAAACTCTGCAAACACAATAAGGAACGAATGTTTATCCTATCAAATATTTCGGAAATTTTACGCCCACTATTTCGAAAAATTCACGCAATCAAAGTTTATACACATGATCAACAGTTCTTTCAAAATATTTTCTGGAAAGAACGAGAAAATGTAACCTTTTGTTGCTTTTTAAATCACGTAGTGAGGACTACGAAGTTTTCTTATAATGCCGTAGTCAGATGAGCGACGGCTACGAGTCTCTGGCGTCAGTCAAAGCATCACGAATATCACGTCAATATGACGAATCTCGTAGCGGGAGTCCGTAGTCAAATCTAAAGGCTAATTTCCATTCCGGAAAACGAGCAGCGGATCGGATCGGATCGGATTTTTTTCCGAGCTGGTCCGATCCATGAAGTGATTTCGGATCGAATCAAAAAAAGTTAAAACTATTTGAACTTTTATTTATCCGGTCTCGGACGCTTTCGGATCAATATAAGCCAAAAATTTCAACCGACGGCGCACGCGCGGATTATCTTTCGTTCCGATCCGATCCGATCCGCTGCTCGTTTTCCGGAGTGGAAATTAGCCTTTAAGCTCCCTATTTAGATTGTGGACGGGAGCGTCAAAACGACGTGATCTACAGTAGAATGGCGAATGAATGGCGTAATGCGGCATATATTCGCCATCCTCGTGTCGTTCTTGGTGTTCTTGTGCTCAAGATCTGCATGTCTCGTAATAGGAGTAGAAGAATTTTGTTTCCAAGGTATCAGAGGGATTAATCAACGAGGAATGCAACTCTATGACAAAAGAGACATTTGCTTGGGGGGCGAAATGAGAGGTACCGCCATGCAGTCAGTATAAAATTAAAAATGTCCCTGCATGACCTGCTTATATAATTGCAAAGACAAAGTAAGGCTTTGCATTTATTATATACGTGTCAATTAGAATCGAATATATATATAGCTTATCTTTGATCTTTGTTCCTCAGAGGTTTAGCGGAAATCTTCTGGCTAGAGTCTTTACGGCAATCATACATGCTTCCGATTTCATGAAATTACAAAGATTTTGTGGGTTCAGTGGTAAACTCATTTTTGTGTATAGAATTTATATAAAACGCAAGCTTCATAATTTATATACGTTTCTTGTTTCGTTGGCCGGAAACTAGCTAGTACTATAGATAGGAAAAAATATTTGAAAGGGTTTAAAAAAATTAGACCTATATAAATAGCTGCAGAGATTTTCTTTCTCGTTTGTACGAGTTTGAACTTCAGAAACAGAATTTAACTGTTCTGACTTCAAAGTTTTTTTCGTTCATTGTTGAGCACTCGATTTGTTATGTTATGTAAACGTGGCCCTGTCTGCCGAATGAAGGCTTTGCGACGCAGAAGAGTCTTTTTATTCATAGTATTTCTTGGACTTTTACCGTTTCTCCTTCTGTGGTTTAATAACCGCATCGTAAAGCTGGCAAGGGAGCGATGGTATGGCGTCAGAGAACGAAGATTGTTGGTCAAAATTTCGATCGTGAATCTAACTGTACATGTGGATAGTCAAAATCTAGCCACTGTTGATAATAATGGCGTAATAAAGGCTCTAGTTCATAAGAAAATACATCAAAGTATATCTCTTGATCATCAACGTAGATCTATTGATCATCAAAATAGATCTATTGTTAATCGAAGTAGATCTATTGACGATAGTCAAATTGAATCGATTGTTCATCAAAGATTTCCTAGTCATAATCAGAGTATTCGTATTCATGGTCGAACTCTGCCTATCAGTAACGAACGTGGATCTAATGATTACCGAACTCCACCAAGTAATCATCAAAACCAAACTATTGATTACCGAACTCCACCAAGTAATCATCAAAACCAAACTATTGATCGTCGAACTGCACCAAGTAATCAACAAAATCAAACTATTGATCACCGAACTCCACCAAGTGATCATCAAAACCAAACTATTGATCACCGAACTCCACCAAGTAATCAACAAAATCAAACTATTGATCACCGAACTCCACCAACTAATCATCAAAACCAAACTATTGATCACCGAACTCCACCAAGTAATCAACAAAATCAAACTATTGATCACCGAACTCCACCAAGTAATCAACAAAATCAAACTATTGATCACCGAACTCCACCAACTAATCATCAAAACCAAACTATTGATCACCGAACTCCACCAAGTAATCAACAAAATCAAATTATTGATCACCGAACTCCACCAACTGATCATCAAAACCAAACTATTGATCACCGAACTCCACCAAGTAATCATCAAAACCAAACTATTGATCACCGAACTCCACCAACTAATCATCAAAACCAAACTATTGATCACCGAACTCCACCAAGTAATCATCAAAACCAAACTATTGATCACCGAACTCCACCAAGTAATCATCAAAACCAAACTATTGATCACCGAACTCCACCAAGTAATCAACAAAATCAAACTATTGATCACCGAACTCCACCAACTAATCATCAAAACCAAACTATTGATCACCGAACTCCACCAACTAATCATCAAAACCAAACTATTGATCACCGAAGTCCACCAACTAATCATCAAAACCAAACTATTGATCGCCGAACTCCACCAAATAATCAACAAAACAAAACTATCATCGAGCCTCACCAAATAATAAACAAAACCAAACTATTGACCATCGAACTCCCACCAAATAACCATGAAACCCAATTAAAATCTATCGCAAGAAAAATGTTGAAACGCGAAAAAGATCATTTTCAACAGGCTCAAGATTCTTACTACGGAAAAGGCTGCAAAACTAATTTGCACAGGTCAAGATTGAAAATCATTTTCAACGTCTGGAGGGAGATGGCAAAGCGGAGAAACATCACGAAGTATTTTATCGCTTTTGGATCGTTTCTCGGTGCTGTTCGGAACGGCGATGTCATTCCGTATGACTCCGATATTGACGTGTGCATATTCAAAGATGAATATCATAAACTTTTCCCAGAAGAATCGAGTCGACCTCTCGACTTAAACGATGGGACAGTTCACTTGCTTTTACAAAGGCATTCCCCCCACCCAAAAGACGACACACCTCGAAAAGACTGCAAAGGAAATGTGGTAAGAAGAGTAACTGATGACTGCGCGATCCTCGATCCACACGGGAGATTATTTCAAGGTCCTTTTGTGTACATGGATATCTTCGTCGTTAAGGATTTCCGCTCGGTCGTGTACGATGAATATAAACGTAAGTATTTAAAGCGAGACATCGTATTACCTTTGCGACCGTGTAGGTTCTTAGGAATGTCCACGTATTGTCCCAATGACACGGCCCGATATTTGACGGCGTATTATGGTTCCACGTACCTGAAACCACATCATATCTGTGAGGGGAATAGATGGATTAAGAATTTGCTGTGATCATAGACGGATTTAGATTGTGGACGGGAACGCCAAAGACGATGTGAAAAAGTACATTTCAAGAGTTAAATCAACTTTCTAGTTAGTTTCATTGAGATATATCGCATTATGGGTTAGTGTATATATATATATGTTATTTACCAGATTGGAGGTCCGTATAGGGAAATCTAGGAAACCCGAGGTCTCAAAACAGCCCGAGGCCAAAGGCCGAGGGATATTTTTGAGACCGAGGGAAATATTTCCCTATACGGACCGACTAAACTGGTAAATAATAGATTTATTTTTTTTCTTGCTGTCCGAATTCATATTTTAGCGTTGGCTCTGTGCTTTTAAGTCTCGCGCGGTCCGTACGGCCTCATACGGACCGCTCGCGTAGCCAATCAGATTGCAGGAAACGCTAAAATATGAATTCGAACCGCTAGAAAAAAATAAATATATATATGTTATTATCATATGCATATGCTACATTGGTATATGACTATCCAATGGCAATGTTGCAGATTTAAAAACAAAAGCATTGCGTCATTAGTAATAGCTATATGTTACCAGCTGAAACGAATCATTGGATGACCTGTTTATTTTGTAAAGATGAAATAATAAAAGCTGTGCGTGTCTACGTGTCTGAACGAGAATCAACTTAGCTATCTTTGATCTTTGTTCTTCAGACGTTCAGAAATCTTTGTGACTAGACTCTTTGCGGCAATCATATATACATACTCCCAATTTAGTGAAATTACAAAGATTTTGTGGATCCATCTATAGCGGCTACGACTGGACTGGAGTAGAAGTTTTGACCACGTCGGTGAGCAATTCACTCAGCGCTTGCTTGTGGCCAAGATAATTTTGTCGCATTCAGTTTTGTTGACGATTAAGGCAAGTAAACAGTAAACAATAAACAATAAACAATGATATAATATATTAATTTATAGCGGTTTATGTTACGATATTTCAGTCATTGGCGTTGAGCTTTTCTACTTGCCTTGCTATCCTTGAACTCAGACTTATTTCTTTCTTTTTCAACAGTTTACGACGATTTCACAACAGTCACCGGCGGCACATGATATATATGTTTCATCGAGAACGTGTATTTTTGTTTGTTTTATTTGTTGTTTTCTGTGCCATGGTTTGGCTACGAATATTTCAGCACCGGCGTGTTCCGTCACTACCCGTGCACCAACGAACGTTGCGAGAAATTACAAAACTCTTAAACGAATCAAATTCTGCTGTCCAGAATCCTCTCAAGTCTACCGATACACAAGTGACACAACAAGGTCAATTAAACAAGCCATTTGAAGGCAAATCTTTAGTACCGTTTGGATCTGATGAACCGGTGAAACCTGTTGAACCGGTAAAACCTGTCGAACCAGTAAAACCTGTTGAACAAGTAAAACCTGTTGAACCTGTCCAACCGGTTGAGCCAGTCAAGCCTGTGGAGCCGGTCGCATGTGTTGAACCGGTCAAATCTGTTGAACGAGTGGCAACTGTTGAACCAATCAAACCTGTTGTGCCAGTCCAACCCATATAGCCTGTCACCATCGTTTATTAAACTGCATGGTCAAACCTGTTGTACCAGGGTTTAAACCCTGTGGAAGTGTCCAAGGTCAAATTGTCCAGAAAGTTACTTAAGGTGTCCAAACTTCCTGTGGGAGAATATCTAAAGCAATATGAAAACATCCTGATTGATTGATTGATTGATTGATCGATCGATTGATTGATTATCGTCATCTGAATAATAATCATGGAATACAGCAAAAGGATTTATATGCAGGAGAGTAGGCAAATGACGTTGCCATTGGCAATACCTTTTGTATTTTCTTGCAAATCAAATATGCATATCACAATGTGAATTTAATTTCTTGTAACACTAATTTCCTTGTATTTTTAATGTGCGAATACGTGCACTATATTCATATACACAATATTCATGTACATATTAAATTAAGTTTGCATATTAAAATAGTAGTATGTGTATATTAGTATAGATTTACGGCTGCATTGCAGAGCAGTCTTGCATTTACGAAAATAATACGCGTTTATTCCGTGTCATTTCGTGAACTGGAGGAACGAAATTTGGGAAGGAAATCGCAAGACGTGACCATTATTTTTGCTCCAGGATAAGTTGTGTGCGTGGGTTGTGTTTGTTTCTGGCTTGTTCCTTGGGCATCGCTTTCACGAATGAAATATCGCTCTGCCTGGATTTGGCGTTTGGATTAAAACGGTGAACAATATAAGCTGTAGACGTCTGCATTTTATTCATGCGTTTTTCACATCAGACTGTACAAAAATTCTCAAAAAGCTCTTCAACGCTGCTTGGCAGCTGAAAATCTATAATACCCCACTGTGTTGCTATGGCTAACTACAATCAAAATACAATATTTTAATTTGAACATATTGTAGCTTTGCCGGATACCGTTCAGAGAAAATTCGCGTACTAATATCATCGCGAATCGGTGTTTGAGTATTAGATTTGTTTAAATTGAGCCGTATTTTTCATAACCGATGTTCCGTGTGGACTCTTTTGTATGACTGATGCCTTATCTCTCCCAGTCTATGCCGTAGAATTCGTGTTGATGCAGGGACTTTCGGAAGAAAGTTAGTTCTGAACTGTCTTAGTTGGGATTTTCGGTGTCAAATTGTACTTACGAATGCCTCTCTACAACAACAACAAGCACACGAAACGGCTCCGGGGCAATTCATGTCCGGCAGGTGTCTCGTTTGAATATCGAAATGATATCAAGAAAGACGGACCCGGGCCGCTACAAAAGTCAAAATCGACGAATTTTATCGGACTTCTTCTCGAAAAAGAGCACAATCTCGTCCGCGAGAGACGACAAAGTCTTCCGGATTCTTTCCGGGACGAGTTATCCCGTCCTGCGGTTATCGACGAAAAACATATCTCGGATCATTTTCCAAATTATTCCTCTCGACGGACAGGTGGCAGTGTACACAATTCGTTTTACAGCAAATTAGTCCATGCGAATTCGCAAAGTCATTCGTCGGCTGACGCTTCTAATCAGCATACGAAACAAAACAAGTCGCCTGTTCATCGCTGTTTTGGCATTGCGCGTTCATTTCTAAATGAAATACCCTTTGATATTTCGTCAGAACTTCGCACGGAAAATCGAGATATTTACCCGACTAATCTAACATCGACAAACGAAATTGAGCAAGCGATAAAGAAAAGCAATGAAGATCCATTGTCTGCCTCGTTAAAAGCGGTTAGTCATTCGCAAAACGATACCACGTTGTTGAATACATGCGAATCAGCAGAATATTCTCATTGCTCATCGTTTAAATCATCCTCAACTGAAGAAAAAAGTGAAGATCCTGGTATAATTTTGACTTTTAAAAGCCCGTATCTCAATAAAACTCTGCCAACCGAATTATTAAAATCGTTTGAGAATATCGAGTGCATTAGAAAAACACACGGCGTGTTGTCTAGTTCAAGCGGAAATGGAAAACCTTTGAACGACGCTTTCCTTGGGACGTTTTTCGAGGAAGTGAACAGTTCAGAAGTCGATGAACTGCTAGAACGTTTCAATAGGTTGATACAAAAGCGTGATACAGATGATTTATTAGATTTCCAAGCAGACGACGACGTTAAACGGCTGGAATCTAGCATTAAAGGGACCGAACTTTTAGTTGAGAGCCTGGCCGCTCAGGTCGAGGAGACGAAAAGCGAAATTGAAATGTCGAGTCAAAAACAAGAGAACGAGATAAACGAGTTGGTTTCGTTTAACGAAGAGATTCACTCCATTTTGTCGGCAAAGGAGTCTGAAATTAGGGAAATTCTCGAGCGTTTCTCTACCTACAGAGATGCGGTCGAGGCTGATACAAAGGAAAAAGATGAAATCTACTCGGAGGAGACGAGCAAACGTGAAGCTCTGATTAACGAACTACAGTTAACCAGAGATGCACTTCTCGAACAGCTGACACAACAGACTCAGATGTTAAGGGAGATCATTTTTGACGCTCAAACGTTCGAAGCTACACACGTTGAACAGCTTGGCGATGTTCATCAGCTTGTCGCTGGACTTTTGGAAAAGTTTTCCGATCAGGAAGCCAGCCTAGTTTGTCAACGAATTAGCGTGAAACTAGAGACATCGATTGCTACAATCAAAGAGAAGGATTATACAAGGTAAAGTTTGGCCTGACTTTGGTTTAGTTTATATTTCCTCCTGTAGTAACACTGGATCAATAAGAGATGATCCTTACTGGACCTCTAGGAGGAACAGTTTATAACTGATAGAGCTATCCAGTATAAATAAAGTTAGTTTAGTTTAGGTTTCCTCCTGTAGTAACACTGGATCAATAAGAGATGATCCTTACTGGACCTCTAGGAAGAACATTTTAGAACTGATAGAGCTATCCAATATAAATAAAGTTAGTTTAGTTTAGGTTTCCACCTGTAGTAACTTGGATTAATAAGAGATGATCCTTACTGGACCTCTAGGAAGAACATTTTAGAATTGATAGAGCTATCCAGTATAAATAAATTCAGTTTAGTTTGGGTTTCCTCCTGTAGTAACGCTGGATCATTAAGAGATGATCCTGAATCTTTAGGTAAAACAGGTAAAAAGTAATTTGAAACACTTTGTCTTCTTTATGAATCAGGTACGTCAGTTGCCTTGACATCAGTGAACTGGAAGAAAAGTCGTCGGAAGAATTAAAGGAAAATTACCGGAGTTCAAAATTGGGCAAAAGTTTATCATCCTCCGTCGACGAAGGAACAGGATACTCCATCATGTCTTCATCAGACGGAGAGAGAAACGATTCAACGCTAACAGACAATGAACCCGCTTTGAACAACGAACGTGTTGGACAAGGAAAATTCTCGTCTGATAATTTTATAAGCGGCTCGCTAATTGGTTCAAAAAACGACGATTTGTACGAGGTAAATATAGACAAATTGACAAATAGGCTTCTATCAAAACTAATTTGCGAACTGTCATGTCTATAGTTGATCTAAAAGCTTATTTAGTACTGTGTATGCTGCATAAACAAAGGTATAGCTAATTGACTATTTGAAACGGTGTCTAAAAGATACAATCGTTATGTGTTGTCACAGGTAGTTTTATTTTAATGGAATGCTTTTAGTTGCATTTACTTAAGTGTTCCAGACATGCCATTTTTAACGGTGTATTAGCGTCGATAAGAAACGTGAATTATTCATGCATTGCAAGTATTTGACATAATATAATCCGTATTAAGTTCGACACGTTTGGTTCAACTGTTCAGGGGCCAGTTGCCTAACAGCCGGACTAGTTAACTTTTAACTGTAGTTAAGCACAGAATTGGCCAATCAGAGTCGTGTATTTCGGAGTTAACTGTAGGATTTAACTATGCAAAATGTAGTTAAAGAGTTTTATACAACCGGCCCCAGACTATTACGGAGCTTGAGCAGTGACTACGAGTACGAGATTCGTCATTCTCGCGTGTTGTTTGCTTACGCCATCAGCCAAAACTCGTTCGCAGTTCGTAAGAGTGTGACGCCACCTAACGCAAGCCAAATACGCGAATTAACCGACGCAAGCATAATGGCGCTTAGTATCCAATTATTTGTGTCTTGCTCACGCAATCCTGGTGTGTGCAGGAACTTTTTCATGGGGGTACAAAGTTCCTGCATACACCCGGCAGGATGGCGTAGAATTGCGTAGAATGACGCGTGCGCTTCTGAAAAATTTCGGACACGAAAACGTTAGCAAAATGCAAAGAGTGAGGCTTCTGGTATAATATCTATTTTGTGTTTTTTGATAAATTTCGTACTTGAAAGTCCGACGACTACGTAGTCCGACGTAGTCCGACGTAGTCCGACGTAGTCCGACGGTAGTTAGTCCGACGTACTCCGACGTAGTCCGACGACGACGAGTTTTGGTTGATGGCGTAAGCAAACAACGCGCGAGAGTGACGAATCTCGTACTCGTAGTCGCTGCTAAAGCTCCCTGCTGCTAAAAAGAGCCGACAGAACATAGTTATTGTAATAACTATGGACAGACAGATCTCACATCTATCTTTAGACATTCGACGAGGACTTTACGCGCTGCTACGGATGAATTGAGCGATAACGAGGCCTTAAACGGATACATAGACAAAAAACTTGTCGCGAAACTCTTGGAAGAGCTATACACGAAATTCCAGTTCATTTGTAAAGAGAAGGACGCGGAGATCCAACATTGGATAAAAAAACATAAACAAGATACAAACGATTTACACACTTTGGAAGAACTGGAAAGGGAGGATGTAAGTAATTTAATCCATGTTTAGATGATCTATTAAGATAGGCTTTTAGGAAGAACAATCTAGAACTCGTATAGAGCTATCCAGTGGAAATTCGTTTAGGTTACTCTTCCTGCAGACCTTTATAGGAAGTCTTGTGACGCAGTTGTGGACAAAGGATGCTCCTAATTGGCAAACTACGTCATACTGCATTCTTTTAAAATGACTGGATCAATAAGAGATGATCCTTACTAGACCTCTAGGAAGAAAAGTTTGGAACTGATAGAGCTATCCAGTATAAATAAAGTTAGTTTAGTTTAGGTTTCCTCCTGTAGTAACACTGGATCAATAAGAGATGATCCCTCAGACAGTTTAGAACTGATAGAGCTATCCAGTATAAATAAAGTTAGTAGTTTAGTTTCCTCCTGTAGTAACACTGAATCAATGAGAAATTATCCTCACTGGACCTCTAGAAAAATTTCGTGTGAGATGAATCAGATTTTTTTTATTTTAGGAAAAGAACAGAGAATGTGTAATGCAGCTTCAAAATGAAATAGAGAAACTACAGCAGAGAAACAAATTTCTTGAATCTGAAGTTGAATTCGAGAAGGAACAAGGCGAAGACGACGTTTGCTATTTGAAAGAGAGTTTTCAAAAGGATCTGAGCGCTCAGCTGAGGCGCCAAAGCCAGACATTTTTATGTGTGGAGGAAAGCGCCAGGTATGGATTGCGAAGTATATACTTTGAGTTGGAAGTACGTAACAGCAAACGATGGTAGCGTTGATTCTCTTCATCATATGCAGCAGTAGTTAGCACAACACAGAATCAAACAGGCCCACTCTGAGGAATTTTCAGGATGTTGAAGATCTATAAAGCCAACTAACTACAGGTTTTTTTCTCCAAGACCACAAGACTAAGAGTAGCACGTTGTCATATGTTTGTCTGATGGGTGTCGCCCTCCCCCCACATCCTGTGAACCCTGCCCTCCCGTCTCACGCACCACGCTCCAATCTCCTCAGATTCAGATTACTTTTCACGGATGTTTTTTAGCCGTAGATGTTTTTTAGCTTGTAATGTATAGGCAGCAAACCAATGAAAATAAATTCAGTTTGCTTCTATCACTAGACTAGACACATCAGACTATATTCAATACGTTAGAAATGAATTGAATCAGACAAAGATGCGTCAGTTCACTGGAACTGTGAAACATTAAACTATTTCAAGTGCCAACTGTGAATGACTATTTTCATCTTTAGGAACGAGCTTGCTGAGATGGAATCGAAAAATGAGGAGCTCGAAAAGGTCAATGAAGATCTTCGAAGGAAAATCGATCAACAGTGCTCTGAAATGAAATCCTGGGCTTCAGATATGTTGATTCTTTCCGAAGAGGAATATCATGAGGAATTCAATTCGATCACCGAAGTCCTTTCGAAACTACACAAGATTATTAAAAAGAATAAGAGCACTGTGGCGGAACTTCAAGAGGAATTGGACGAGTATAAAAGGAAAGCATACGAGCTCAGTTCCAGCCCAGAAGTGCTGGCTGGTAGTTTGGGAGGAAGCTCATGGAACAGTATGGAACTACAGAAAGATCTCTGTCGGAACTGCAAGCAAGTGAAGTGGCAGAGAGTTCTGAAAGGTAGTTTTGATCTGGTCGACTCTTCCTTGGAGGGAAAACAAGACGAAGTGGAAAGATTTGTGAATAAGCTGAGCATTGATGAGATGAAACATCGCAAGAAGCATTCGTTGAAGGATAGCCTAGAACTTGCTGATGATCAGTTTGAGAATCTTCAGCGCCTCAGTAGACACGAATTTGGTTCTCTAGGGACGTTAGGTGAGGATAGTTTGGAGGATTGTTCTGAAATCGATTTTTCCGCAGGAGATTCCACTGGCAAAGATGTGGTCGATGGCTTGGGTGCTTCAAAACCTGAAAATGATGAATTACCTCATGATCCGTCTCTTGAACAAGGAGATGAGGCATCAAATGATCAGAGAAAGGAAGAGAGCAACTCTACGAGCAAGGCAGACGCGAATACTACAAGTGGTGTAGCTGCAAATACAGTCGAGAATTTGGACGAAAGTTGGAAAAGTATTCACGTGAGTCCAAGGCTATCAAGTCAATATTCCATACGATCCGACCCAGAGTTTAATGGTTTACATAGAGATTTGAATCTCAAAGGTAATGAACACGAAGGGACTGGTGCGACGGATGTTCGTAGGGTTGGGTTGGAATCCGTCGAAGAGATTTCAGAAGGAGAGGAGATTGATGGGAGTGATCATGGTGAATGGTTGATAAACGAGGACAACAGTGAAAAGACACGGGAAGAAGATGAGGATAGAGTTAATGTAGTGAATCTATACCGGTCCCTTGTTCTTGAAAGTGATATGCCACAGCATGGTAATGAGGCTGGAGGAATCTCTGGTGAGCATCGGGATAAAGTTGGTGAATATGGTGATAAAAGTGGTAAACATGGTGAAAAATCTGGGGATGACAAGGATGGGTATAATCATGATAATGAATTAAACCATCCATCGATGTTTTCTCGTGATCAACATTTTCAGATACCCAAAATTGTTGTCGGAAAAGATTTCAACGGGAATTTTCTTGTGATACACGAAGAAGACGAGGAAGAAGAAGGTGAGTATGGAGAAGAGAATGATTTACATGAAGTATCCGAAGATACAGATCATCCTGCATCAGAAACAGCACTTGGTGAGTGTAATGGTGAAGTGGGTGATCAAGGTGAAGAATATGGTGATGAAATTGGTGAATGCATTGATGAATCTGGTGATTACAATGATCGCTCATCTGTGAAACATAATACAACGCTTTTGGAAGACGAAGATATTTTTCACCCTGTATCAACAGACAATGTGAATATACAGAGCTTAGCTCGGAGTAAAAACGATCCCTCAGAATCATTCTCAACAAACGCAGATGATAGCAATTCCATATTTGAATTCGCTGGAGACTTTGCGGAAGGAATACCTCCTCCTCCCAAAACATGCTTTCACTGCAGCGAAAATGTCGAAAACCTAAAAGCAAAACTGATAGAGATTGTCACAAGCCAACGTAGGGACCAGGATGATAAGATTTTCCAGGAATTGGAAGACACTAGAGAAGAATTACGAGAATGTCGAAGCGAGAACGAGAAATTGGATAAAAATTGCGAAGATTATAGGAACTTCGTTGACGAATATTCCAGGAATTTGGAACGCAAGAACCAAGAGTTGAGAGAATTAAAGCTTAGCAGTCTTATTATGAAGACTGAGATCGAGTGGCTTAGGCAAGCGCTTGGAATTACTAGAAATTACACAGCATCCCAGAACTAGCATTATCTTGTCATTGCAGTATAAGATGTTGTGCTTGAAATAGAGTCATGAACTGGATTGAAAAACTAGAATCTGCACCGCTGTTTTGCACTGGCTAAATTACCTGGGGATCTTTCTCGCACTACCTGGCATAATAAAAGTCATTCTTAACCTTGTAAAGTGTTCTTTCATCGTTTAAAATTGATTATGTTTCACCCAAAAAACGAAATGTTATGACATATTTGTAGTGTTATGTAAACGGCCTTTTTGTTTATTGAATCATGCAGACAGACAGAACAATAGGACAACTTTAAAACGAAGAGTTCAAACCCGAATATCTTTATATAACAAACTATATTTCAGTTAGTACGCTCAATGATTCACAGTAGGTCAAACCCACACCTATTCGGACGTTTCAAATGTAACAATTAAGTGGATTTTTATCATATTTTTAAGTTTTTGTATAAAAAGCGAAACAGCGGAAACTATCGTATTCATTTTGTTATCAGCAAAACGACAGCTGCAATACGAAAAATGAAAAATATATTATTATATTGAAGCAGTTTTGGTGCATTTTCACTTTTGACATAACAAATACGCAATGTTAACGGTTTTTTCTAGAATAATTTCCCCACAATTCAACGATGCAAAAGCGATATTCATCGTGATATTGTGAAGTACATAATTACAGTGATCGATTTTAATGTTTTGACGCGTCTGATTTCTACATATATAATCTTCGTTTTTATACAAAAATTAGCATACAAAAATAACAAAGTCTGTTGTGAGGAAATCACAAATTAGGCCTCGCTTTATCTTTGAACATAGACGACGCGATGGAAGAGATGTTGTACGGTTTGGAGTATATTTCTCTATGACTATGTAATGTAGAAATGATTTTTTACATCTTTGAGACAGAGTAAAAGCGACGGAGAATTAATAGCGTTTGTGAGTTTGAATTCTGAAGACAATTTGTTGATTTAATAAGATTGGTAAATATTTTCACTTCGAGTGAAACTGAGAAAGCGTGATAATTACTATAGCTCTCTTGACATTCTACTTTGTGGTCTGGAGAACTATGCCGCGGGGTTGAAACTGAAGCCAATTTCTGCCTCGAACAGAAAACACGCGTGGTGGCTTGTGGGAAGATTGAGTGTATCAAATACTTCGTATAGCGCCAGATAATTTTCATGTCAAAGATTCTTGCATATCGTCGTTTTTACGACAATTTTGCTTCACTAGTTTTCAAGTAGAAGTTACTAAAAAATAACACATCTTATTTCTTTTCGTGTAGTCCTCTTCAGGATGAGAAATTGTGGTAGTTTTCAAGTACAGCCGAAATGATGTTTTGACAGCTCATAACAGCCTTGCAACAGGTGCCCGAGACAACTTTCACGCATATTTTACCCCAAAGTTTCCATCAACAGGTAGTTTACTCTCTTCTATTCCATTTAAGGCTTGCCGCTGCTAAACTTATCTCAACTAATGGCCTCCCATTCGACGAGGAACGAAAACAAACAAATTTCACCCCGCCGTCAAAACCAGAGACGCTTTCGGTCAGTCTAGCCGTCAAATATTTCATATTGCAAGGTTTCAACAATGTTGTGTGCGCAAGATGGTTTTTGTCATTTCCAGCTGCCGAAGTACGGTTGAAAGCTGCTGTATTGCACCGGAAATCGCTTTGTTTTGGCTCTTTTCGAAACGAGTACAGTGATAGCAAGATAATTCCTGAGTTCTGATACAGAAAAGCCCATACACATCCCGCGTTTGTGTGGATACAAGTTACTAGACGTTTGTTGTTGCGAGATTCCATCGAAGAGCTTTTGTCCAAGTTGCATTTGTGGATTTTGAAGGATGGAAAGCGAGCTCGGAGCAACAGGCAGTTCAAATCCCGGTGCAAGATCCGACCTGGAGATGTTGGAAATGCAAGCCACTCTAGAAGGAAAGGTAGGCACAGGAAAAACGTTATGAACTTAGACTGTTTATCGCAGCGATAGTTTCGTAAACCATTCACGTTGCACGGAAACTTCATCAGCAAAGTAGGACGTGCGAGTTGCAATGCCTCAGGAACCATGTGCCTGAGCAAAATTTCTCTGCATAAGCCAGCTTCTAGTTGTCAATATGGCATTCAAATACCAAAGGTCGCTTGTATTAAGAGTTAGTTAACTTGTAACTCTTCGTTAGCGGCAGAATTGGCCAATAAGAATCGTGTCGGTCGAATTTAATAAGGATTCACATACAGTTTGTTTCCTGAGAAGTAATGCTTTAGGTATAACTCCGTAAGTTTTCCCTAGTTTAAAAGATGGGCTGGTTGTTCCTTGTTGGGTAATACAATACATGATTTTAAAGAGTTTTTGAAATTTATTTCATGGAATTGTGTCATACCGTATAATTATTGCATCGTATATTCTATAATAATTGTATTGTCACTTGTGACGTATAGTATTGCACTATATTTCTAGATATACTGTTTTGTTTTTTTTTCATTTTTTTGCCTAACGAAAACCCAGAACAGGTCCCTAAGCCTGAGTATTGAAAAACTACGCTGATGTTGGTATCCTGAGAAAATATTTTGATATAAATAAGTCCAGTATTCTAAACGCCTTATTTGCTTTCTGTTTATATTAAGACAGACGCACTCTGCGAATCTCTTCTTATAATCTATGCCTGGCTTTTAATCTAAGACTGGTATGTCCGAGACGTAGGCTTCTTCTTCTTGAGAACAGCTTGTTACCGACCATCTGTTGCATGCTAAACCCTGCCGAGATTCACGAAGAATGTTTCTGAATATTTCAGGATACATTTATTCGTCAACTTCGCGAGGAGCTGAGGGTAAATGGTGACGTCCGCCAAAGCAGTTCGAGTTTCGAGATGTTCGAGAACGGGAAGTTGACAAGCGACTTCGAAGGTAAACTTCACGATAAAGATATCGAACTCGGCCGTTTTCAAGAAGAGTTGGACGCATCGAGAAGATCTATGGACCTCATGCAGAGACAATATAACGAGATGAAAGAAACGGCAGATAACAAGGACAGTTTGGTGAGAAAACTTCGTCGCGAGAACGATGATATGGCAGAGAAATTGGATCAAGCTCACAAGGAGAAGACCAGCGCTGTGGAGAAGTTAAATTTGGTTGAAAGTGATATGTCTTCTTTGAATGTGGAGAAGGTTAGTTTGAGATGTGAAACGATTTCAGTCGACTGAATTGGATCAATAAAATATGATCCTTAACGGACATGTAAGAAGAATAGTTTAGAATTGATAGATCTATCTAGTCTTTGTTTAGTTTGGGCTACCTGCTATAGTAACACTGGATCAATAAGAGATGATCCTTACCTCAATAGGAGGAACAGTTTTGAACTGCATTAATAAGAGATGATCCTAAATGGACCTTAGAATTGACAGGACTATCTTAGTGTAAACAAAGTTAATTTAGTTTATGTTTCCTGCTAATGACACTTATTAATAAGAGATGATCTTTGATAGACCTCTAGGAAGAACAGTTTAGAACTGATAGAGCTATCCAGTATAAATAAAGTTAATTTAGTATAGTTTAGGTTTCCTGACTTTCCTCCTGTAGTAACACTGGAACAATAAGAGATGATCCTTACTGGACCTCTAGGAAGAACAGTTCAGAACTGATAGAGCTATCCAGTATAAATAAAGTTAGTTTAGTTTAGGTTTCCTCCTGTAGTAACACTGGATCAATAAGAGATAAAGTGATATCATTTAGAACAAGCCTATTACTATTATTAAGGACTGGCTTAAATCGCAGTTAAATCTTGCCGAGCGATCTTTGAACGAAGTCAGCAAAAGTTCCAGTGCTACACGAAAAAGTGCTTTGAAGAAATCCTCCGTGAGTCGAAATGAAAATCTCCAGGAATTACAAAAACTTACCTCGGAGTACGAGTCGCTATTAAAGTCAGCAGAATACGGCCATCAGGCCACCTCGGGTGGTTACCCCGGGTCTGCGGAAAATGCTGATCTGAGAAACGGCAATCCAAAAGATGGTAAATTCATACGAGATATGCACAAGCGTATGGATGACATTGAGAAGAAGGTAAAAGAATCCGTTATTACTGAAAGGTAAGTCGCAGAGTCGTACTTTAATTCCAGATGGTTATGACCAGTTTATCAAAAGTTCGTTTGACAAATTGACTAGATCCTAGAAACGGAATTGCTTTCATTTTGTCGAGAAAAAGCTTCCATTATAGAGATCTTTGTATAGCTTGACGTTCACGACAACCCTCTAACGGCAAACAGAAAAATTCATTTCGAATTTACAAAACAAATGCTAGATTTCTGAGGCCGGTGCCAAAATCTAATTTTAAATGTTATCTGAAATTAGCTGTTTGCTGTCCGCGGTTTGACATATTACATGGTTAAGCTAAAGGTCTCCTATATCAGGCTCTTGCGGACCATTTTGTGAATACTGCATCTTTATTTAATATGTATCCACCAATTAAGCGAGTTTCGTGTAATATTCTTGTAGATATCAAATCCACGCAGAGAAAGAGAATCTGATACAAGAGTTCAAAAATCTTCACACGACCCTCGCTCAGCATCAACGAATGCACGACTCGTATGCCAAGGACGTGGAGGCCAAGGACAACTTGATCAAACGATTGAAGTCGATCAAGGAGTCGCTGGAGAGTGAAGTGGATGGATTGAGACAGGAAATGCTGAAAGTCAAGGAGACGAGTGACCGCTACGTGAAGGAAAAACATGTTGATAATATGAAGTTTATTACCGCTAAGAGCAAGGTAAGCTTTAGGCGAAGTATTGACATACTGAATAATATCTCTCATAATATGACTCACTGATACTATACAAGGAAACCTAAACTAAACTAAGTTTATTTATACTGGATAGCTCTATCAGTTCTAAACTGTTCTTCCTAGAGGCCCAGTAAGGATAATCTCTTATTGATCCAGTGTTACTACAGGAGGAAACCTAAACTAAACTAAGTTTATTTATACTGGATAGCTCTATCAGTTCTAAACTGTTCTTCCTAGAGGCCCAGTAAGGATAATCTCTTATTGATCCAGTGCTACTACAGGAGGAAACCTAAACTAAACTAACTTTATTTATATTGGATAGCTCTATCAGTTCTAAACTGTTCTTCCTAGAGGTCCAGTACGGATCATCTCTTATTGATCCAGTGTTACTACAGGAGGAAACCAAAAAATATATTCAGACTTAGTAAATTAATGATTGGCATATTTGTTTCCTTAGATCTCCAAACTCGAAGCAGAACTTGCGAACGAACGTAGACAGAAAGAATTTCTCTCAGTTCAGCTCAGCCAAGTTGAATCTCACAGCGGTCAGGACAAAGACCAGATCATTTTGCGCCTGGAAACACAACTTAAAGAGCATCGCACGCTTTGCGAGAAATATGAAAACGAGAGCGTCACCAAGGAAACGGTTATCTCTGAAATGCGCACGAAGTTGGCCACGTTGGAAACGGAAGTGCGGAAATCCCGCGAGGATACCAGGGTAAGGCTAGTCTAAGAGGCGTGCGCCTATATTCTAAAAACTCACTCACCCGTACTCACTGAGTGAGAGATCTGAATCTTCTCATAACGTTTCCATGATGGTATCTTCAGTCGAATAAAAGCTTGAATTTCAGTGTTTTACCTTAAATCTTTCTTTAGCTTAAGAAAGAACTTCTTGACATTGATCAGAAATAACAAAATTTCTCTGTCACACTTGAGTGTGAATGTTAGTTAGCTCTTTGAATACCAGCGATAGACATGCTCGGGTATTAGTGGAAGACGGAGAGTTTCTACCTGCCCTACTGATTTCAAAAAGTTGATATTTTGAAGGATTATGTCATCGAACTCACATTATAATGTAGATTTCGTGCATTGTCACGGATACTCACAGGGCTTTTCAATTTATAGTATGAATTGAGCTAGAGTGTAGCTCTGGTTTACATGCTCGGGTAGTATTGAAAGACTGAGAGTTTCTACCTGCCCTACTGATTTCAAAAAGTTGATATTTTGAAGGATTATGTCATCGAACTCACATTATAATGTAGATTTCGTGCATTGTCACGGATACTCACGGGGCTTTTCAATTTCATCTTTTCGCGAAAGGTGGTCGTGGAGACGAACGTGGATACGAAGGAGCATTTGGCGATGAAAAGGGACCTTGATGCAGCAAGAGGACAAATACGAGAGCTGGAGAATTCCCAGGGAATTTTGAGAGAGAAGAAAGCTCGTTTGGAACAAGAGCTTGGAATAATGCAAGAGAAAGTTCGTCATCTTGAGAGCTCTGAACGAAGTCATACGTCAAAGCTTACCGTGTTGGAGGACACGTGTAAGACTGCAAATATAGAAGTCACAAAGGTTAGACGATATTTAAATAGACTGCGTTTATCATCTCCGTGACTGAGCTTAGAGCATAGGTTAGAGTTTAGAGCATACTTCAAGTATAATGGAGATTTATGGCACCTTTCAGGTTAACGCATCCTACCAGACTCTCAAAGAACAAAAATCAAAAGCCGAGGAGGATCTTGTGACGGCAAATGTGAAATTAAACCAGCTGAAGACAGCCTACGATGCATTGAGAAAGGACAAGAAAGAATCCAAACATGAAGTGATCCAATTGCACAAGAAACTGACTTCTGTCGAACTCTCGAAAGAAAGGTTGAACAACGAGCGTGTGGAAACGCAACATCACGTCCAGGAAACGCAGAACAGACTCTTGAAAGTTGAGACTCAATGGAAGCGAAGCTCTCGAGAAAACGCAGAGCTTAAAAGGCAAATTGAGGAAATAGGGACTCAGCTCAAGAGCTGTAAAGACACCATTGATCTTCTCAACAGTCGCCTCGCCGATTCGCAAAGGGAGATTCAATTCACCAAAACGGAGTTGACGAGAAAAGACAAAATCATGGAGGAATCGAAATCTCAGTTTTTGTCACAAAAAGATGAACATGAAAAGCTATTGCGAGAGTATAACTCACTCATGGTCGAACTTCATACCAATGACAGAGAAAAAGTGAAGGTATGTGCAGAGTTGCAAAAAAGCTACAGGTACGCGGGTACCACTCGGAGAAAGGTTTGCTTTGAATGAGGTTTGTGAGGAAGGTTAAAAGTTGAGCACTCTAATTGATCACATGCATGTACTTAAAAAAAAAACAAATATTTGTTTATGCTGGTTGCCACTTGACTCACTGACGTAACGTCATTTTGAGGAAGGTTTTCAAAACATGAAATCCTACCGGAGGAAGGTTGAACTCTTTTTGCAACTCTGTATGTGAAGATATTTTCTACCATCGCGAAAGATGAGTCCTTGCTAGCTGAGAAATCCGTGAATGCATGGTATCACTCCTTCTCGAGACCGATTGTTAGAGAGACGTTTAGCTTAAACGGTGGATTTTAAGCGTTTAAGCTAAACGCCTTTCAAATCTGACCCTGCAAAATAGAAAAATACAATGACTGATGAGATTAACTCTTCTTCTCTTAGGAGTACGATCGAAAGGTCTACTAACGTCTTTAAAGTATTTCCCTGGCAGTGTTTAACGGCTTTATTTGTTTATCTGTCTCAGGTTGAAAGCGGCCTTATTTCGTTGGGAAAGAAACTTTCAGACTCTGAAACGTTGCACGTAAAAGCAAAGAACACTCAACGGCGTTTTGAAGAGGACAACGAGAGGTTGAAGGAGCAAATACTGGAATTCAAAACAAAGTTTGCTTCGTTGCAACAAGAGAATAAGAGAGTGGAAAGCGAAGCTACCGAACAGAAAAGATCCGCCACAAAACTGACTGCAGATGTGGAACGATTGAATCATGAGATGAAATCGAAAGCAGATGAAGTAGAAGCTTTGAAGAGGTAAAGTTGGTTTAGACCTTACCATTGAACGCCATTTTTTACCACAATCAATCCACAATTAGTTTGCTTTGTTTTCAGATCAGTGGAACAGCTTGAAGGAGAAAAGCGAGACGATACAAAGAAGGAAATTTCGATGAAGGAAGAGCTGAGGAATGCTTTGAGATACAAAGAGGAAGCACTTGAGGCCGCGCGAACAATTGAAGGACTGAGAAGAAAAAGCGACCAACTTGTCAAGGATTTGAAAAAGAAGACTGGTCAAGTGGAGGCACTACAAGAGGAAACGACAATACTGCAGTTTGATCTGGACACTAAAGTTCGTGAAATTGCATCCAGGTAAGGAGATTAGTCATATTTCGGTCAGATTCCAGTGGCAAAGACGTTTTGAGATTAGGGGCACTGGAACGTCGACTTTTTTATATAGCTTTATAGGACTAGACATCATCATCATCGATGATCATCGATCATCATTATCATAGATCATTATCGATGATAATCTTCGTTCATCACCGATTGATTACTATCGATGATCATTGTTCAAGATCAATGATTATCGATGACCATCATCGTCTTCATCGTCTTCATCATTCTCTTAATCATTACCATTACCACCACAATTCCTCTTCCACCAAGGTCTGGCGAAAGTGACAAGAACGTGGAAATACAGAAACGAGATTTAGAGCTCAACGAGACCAGGAAACAACTGGTGAAGGCCGATCTTCAAGCCCAGAAACGTTCCCAGCAGATTGTTGAGTGCAAGAAAGAGATCGCGACGCTTCAGTTGAAAATTGAAGAATTGGAAGAAGTGAAAACGAACTATCGCGAGAAGGAAAAGAAGTTGTTCAGAGATTTGGCAATGGTGACAGAGGAGTTGAACAGACGTGACGCAAAAATAGCGAAATTGAATGGAGAGATGGTGCGAAATGAGGATATGCTAGGAACAGCCGACACAAGGTTTGTATGTGTAGGTTGGAATGGAATGATTCAGTCGTTGAGGGAAAATGAAACAGGCGAATTAAATTACACGTTTAAATGGTAACACCACAAACAATAAAATAATCTACGGTGTTCGTATTGTTGTGACAGCCGATGGACGATGGCTGATAGCCTCTTGATTTGCCATGGTTTAAGTAGATGTATTTAGGGACCATAGAATGAAACTTGACAAACTTGACATAGAATCAAACTTGACACAGCACATTTAGTATTCCATAGCCACTTAGATGTCTTACCTAATGCGGAAAGTATCAGTACACAAATTCAAATGCCATCTAGGCGTATTTCATGGTTAGTTTTGGTTTCTTGTTTATTGAATAAGTACGTCCACAAATAATAAGCGCAAAAGTGTGGCCTTCAAACTTTATACTTTACCCAATGAGCTCGAGAATCCCGGATACAATCGCTATTTTATGTAAGTTCATGTATCAATGTCTTTCCCAATGCATTAGGTTATTGGACTTGCAACAGCAGTTATCAGAGGCGAGGAAGAGGGTCACTGAGATCGAGGCATTCTCCGAAAGACTGAAAGGAGATCTCGCCGACGCCGAGGTGAAGTACTCTAACGAAGCGAAGAAACTGGAGACGAGCATCTCGAATCTGACGTTGCAGCGAGATATGTTACAACAGCAGCTGAAGGAGACCAGGATTGATTTGAAGAAGAGATTGGATGAGATTCAGGGTTTGCAGAAGACAGTCAGCGACGGCGAGTTAAAGACTGAAAATCTTGGGAGTGATGCAAAGAAACTGCAGAATATAATAACAAGGTAAAAAATACTCGAGTGCGCATGCTATGCCTTAACTAACTCTTCGACCATTGATCTTCGATTTAAATTAGTCGTCCAGCTACGTTTCTCCTACTTCTAGCTCAGCTGCCTTTTGCAATATCTTTCTCTATCTATCTCCAACTGTCCCTACCCGTCCCGGTTTCATTCGTTATCTGTCCCTATCTGTCTCTCTCTCCACCTTAAGTATATCTCGTTGAATCTATCTATGTGTGTTTATATCTATCTCCTTCTGTCTCTATTTATTCCTATCAGTCACCGTCTGTTTCCATGTGTCTCCACCGTCTGTCTTTTAACTATCCATTTCTCTAAATCCTTTTTTCTCGTCTGTCCACGTTCAGATATCTTTGTCTTTCTATCAGTATAGGCATCTGTATAGATTCCCATCTGTTCTTATCTATCTTCCCCTACTCATCTAGGCTGAATGAAACACGCCAAGAAACTGATAATGAACTGAATGATTTGAGAAAAGAGGTCGCGGACTACAAGGTAAAACTGGATGCAAAAGATTGGAGGATTACTGATTTGGAAGGAGAACTCCAAGCGCACTCTTCAAAACAAACAGAATGGGAGACCAGTTATCGTCAACTAGAAGCAGAAAAATCGACGATGCTCGAGTCCCAAGTGGATGCTGAGACTAAAACATCAGAGTTGAAAGCGAGTTATGAAGAAATGGAAAAGACTTTGAAGAAGGAAAATCAAGAAAGGTGCGTGAAGGTCACCACGTTGGAAGCACAGATCCAGAGCATGGAGAAACAGAAGGAGAGTTTGAGGAAGGAATTGCACGATACTAAAGAAGCTCTTCGACAGAGTAAACACGGATTTTCTGAGTTGCAGAAAGACTATATCGATCATCAAAAGAGTTGTGACGGATTTCGGCAAGAGGTAAGATCGTTGTGTTTACTAGAACGGGGTCATCAGGGACCGCGTAGGGTTTTTCGTATTGCTGGGGCTCGGAACCGCGCGCCTACTAACCACTGTGTTTGGTAGAGTCAAACTAGAAGCACTCTTCTCAAATGTGACTGAGGTGAAATTATAATCAGACAACTGCATATTACAGGAATCAAACCTCAGTCACAGAGATGAAAGACACAATCATGTACTAACCACTGTGTTTGGTAGAGTCAAACTAGAAGCACTCTTCTCACATCTTATTCATGTAAAATTTTAATAAATAAAAGACACACGCAGAGTTCAGAATTGTTAAAATTGTTTCGTTTTTAACAGGTTATAGTGAAACGCGAAACCATTGAACGCCTGGAGTCGTCGGCCCAAGTTTTGGAAGTGAAAATCGAAACGCTGGCGGATGAACTCTCGCGAAACGAGACAGCCGGAGAATTGTTGAAGAAGCAAAAAGATACAGTCGACAAGGAACTCCGTGGCGCTGAGAGCAGAATTACGGAACTGGAAACGTTGATTTCGGACATTCAAAACGATAAAGAGAAAGTTCTCAAAGAGCACGAAACTTGTTTAGCGCAGTTAAACGACGCTGGTAGGGGTGAACATTCGGCAAAGGAGAAGATTTTGGACCTGGAAACAAGGTGCGAAGAGGCTCATGGTAAAATAGCTGATCTCGAAAAACAACTGGAGAATGCACGAGCGAAGCTGGCGCGATTCGAGGAACTGTTTGGCGAGAATAGAGACGAAATATCAAAGTTGGAAAAAGAATTGGCAACGGCGAAGGGCAATGTTGTCGAGCTTGAGTCCATCTGTGAAGTTCTGGAGAGGGAGAAAGATGAGTTAAAACGACAGCTGGAGCATGCTGAGAAACAGGTGTGTAAGCATATCGTATAATTCTCTGAGGACAAATATGCCTGGTTTACACATTTAGTCGTAAAGGCCCTGTCACACGGTGCAATTTTTCCTGCAACTTGCAATGCAATTCTACTTTTGAGAGATGTAAATTTAGTAACACCAAACTTTTGTGTTTATTATACTTCATGCATTTTCTTCTGCAAGACTCTTTACTAATAATTATTACATCTCTTATAAGTAGAATTGCATTGCAAGTTGCAAGAAAAATTGCACCATGTAACAGGGCCTTTAGTGTCGTGAACATGTCAAGGTGGCTGATGTAATAGAATATTTCTATGTGTGGGTGCTGTCAACAATGACCGATTTGAATACAGAAATAAAGACGAATTTACATCCGGACTATTTCTCATCAGTGAAAATGACTTGTTAACACAGGAGCGGATCCAGACTGATGCGACTCATGCGATTGCATTAGTCAAAATTTCACAAACACAAAATATTAAATACGAATTTGGCGTAAATTGAGACTAGTCTAAATTAAGACACGATAAATAATAGTGATGAAGTAATATACCTGAATATGGTATTATCAACCTTGCCATGGTCGAATATACCTGTCGAATATACCGAAATATGGTAAATGATGAATATTACGTTTGTCACTGCACAAATTTGCTATCATTGCATCTAGAATTATCCTGTATCATTGAATAATTATTCTTCAGATGTGCTTCTTTTTATCAATGCATTCTGAATATTGTTCGGTTTATCGCATCTGGAAAGACACTTCAGAGTACAGTCTAGTGTATTTAGGTGCGAATATGATAGATCATTATTTCCCACAGGTCTCAGAGATGAAGAATTCTCGTAAAACATACGAAGATGAAAACGACCAGTTGTTGCAAGAAGTTAAAGACACTCGCAGCAAGGTTACAAAACTCGAAGGAATGCTTTCAACCATCACTCGGGAACGAAACGGGCTTAAACAACAACTGGAAGAATTCAAAGATAAACTGCTTCAAAGCAAAGAAGAAAATGGCGTGCTCGAGAGAAAGTATTCTGAAAATTTAAGAGTTTTGGAGAAGCTTAAAACCAACGAACGTTCGGCTGAGAAGACAAAAGAAGAACTTCGTGGTAGAGTTACTCTGCTTCAAGACGAACTGGATTCAAGGTGAGAATTATTTTTGAGAATGATTTTATAACTTTTTGCATCGTGGTTTAGTATGTACCTAATATGAATTGCTTATCTAAACGTTCAAAATGCAATATTCCTATAAATAGTTTGGAAGAGTAACCTCATTGAAGATAAACAATTTATAAGAAACGTATTTACCTAACTATGTTTACATCGAAAAACCTTTACGGCTGTATTCAAACACCTCACTCACGCGAACTCTCATTGAATGTGACATAGAAACTTTGCTCTTACCGATGAGAGAAAGTTATTTTTTTCTTAATCAATGGAAAGATTTAAGGTAAAATCAAGCTCTTATCCAAGTGGAAATACCGTCAAGGAAACGTTCTGAGAAGATTGATATCTCCCACTCAATGAGTTTTAGTGTGAGTGAGCTTTTGGTATACAAGCATTGCTCTCGTGAAATAATGAAAATGTTTTATTTACTCGAAGGTCGCAAGAGACAACGAAGTATCAGAACGAATTTGCCCGCGCGCAGGAAGAGAAGAAATACCTTCACGATGAGCTTCTCCTGTTCCAACAAAAACTACGAGAGTTTGAAATCAACGATACAACTTTACTGAAAGACAACGAAACTTTGAAAGACGAAGTTAATTCGTTCTACCAGCGAGTTTCCGAGCTTCAAAGCAACTGTCGAAATATGGAAGAAGAGAATATCCTGCTTCAAAGGGATCTCAGTTTGTCCAAACAAAGAAATGAGAAACTCGAAGGTGAACTGCAAGAATTGAAGAAGAAGTCGTCAATATTAAGTTATGAGTTGGATGAAAAGAATGCAGACTTCAGTCGAGTGTCAAACGAGTTTGTCATCGTAAAATCGACCGTTGAGGAACAGTACAGCGCGTTACAGGTAATTGTTTTACTCTGAAGAAAAATATATATTCCTATCGCCGTTGTATTCAAGTTTCCCCAGTTTATACAATCGATGTGAATTGCAAAAGATCTAGTTTTTCTTTGCGAACAAATTTAATATCGTTTACTACCACCAACAGGATTATGAGAAAAAGGTCAGCGATGAGGAGGATTTACTGGAAGGTCTTCAACGGGAGAAGTCTGAGATGGAATCACTTCTAAATACTGTTCGAGACGAATTGAATGTCAAGAAAGCTGAACTCGACAAATCACACGAAGATAACAAAGTACTTCAGGTATATTTGCTTTCATTTTTTGTTAACATGTAGATCATTACCTTCTCAAGTCGCACCGTGACTCTCGAATTTTTGGCGGCAAAAATGAAGGTTCGGTATTATGTGAAAAAAAGTGGCAAAAGAAACTTCAAAAGGGGTCTGTCTTTGGGCGGGATCGTAGATTTCTGCTAGTCCAACAAATAAGGAATTTTCTAGCATGGTCTGCAGCAAAATAATGAACATAATTCAAAAATATAGTTTATGGTTGAGACAGCTGTTTATCGTTGAGAGTTAAGACAGTAGTTTGTTGTTGAAACAGGAGTTTATCGTTCAGACAGCTGTTTATCGTCGAGAGTTGAGACATTAACCTATCGTTGAAACAGTAGTTTATCATTTAGACAGTAGTTTATCGTTGTTGGTTATTTCATGTCTAGGGTAATGTATCTTCCCTTACCGGCGAGGTCAACCATTTGAAATCAAGCCTTGATGCAACAGACAAGAAGAGATCAGAGCTGGACACAACCTTGAGATCGAAAGCTAAAGAGTACGCAAAGCTTGGTCGAGGTTTCAAACAGACCGTTTACAAACAAAAGGAATTGGAACAAAACCTTTCAGAAGTCTCGGCTAAGAAAGACGAGCTTGATTCAGAGCTTAAAAACAGCCGCAAAAGAATCATTGAATTGGAACGAATAACAGCAAGCAAGATGGATGAACTGGAATCCATGGCGCAGGATTTAAATGTGAAAGATGAGAGCGTTTCCATGCATAAAGGTAAACTGGAACTAGCCACACAGTCCGAAACAAAAGCCAAGGATGATCTTATCTCGGCCCAAAATAGAATCACAGAACTTGAGAGTGACGTCGAAGGGCTCGCTGAAGAGAAACGTGTTTTGCAAGACGAAGTGGAAAGGATGAACACAAGAATTCGCAAGCTCGAATCACAGCTTGAGGTTAGCAGAGAGGAACGCAAGAGGCTTCAGGCCTCGCTCGAAGATGGACGGTTGAAATTGACCACTCTTCGCGAGGAGTTCGTCGAAGCTTCCGGGAAACGCAAGGAGTCAGAATCGCAAAGCGAGAGGCTTAAAACTAGTTTAGGTAAGAAGGAGACGGACATCGAGGAGCTGAAGGCGAGAGTGATGCAGCTGAAAGAGTTGGTGGGGACCTTGACGGCGTCTGAGGCGAACTTGAAGCTTGCGTCTGATAAGTTGGAAGATGAGAATAAAGATTTGAACGCTGAAGTTGGAACTATGGAGCAGAGAATGGTGGATCTTGAAGGAACTGTGAGATCATTGCGGGATAATAATATGCAACTAGAGATCGAAGTCAATGCTACACGTAACAAAGTTGTAAGCTTTGAGGTAAGTTAAAACACGCATTTCTCTATCAGTTCTGAACTGTTCTTCATTAAGGATCATCTCTTATTGATCCAGTGTTACTACAGGAGGAAACCTAAACTAAACTAACTTTATTTATACTGGATAGCTCTATCAGTTCTAAACTGTTTTTCCTAGAGGTCCAGTTAGGATAATCTCTTATTGATCCAGTGTTATTACAGGAGGAAACCTAAACTAAACTAACTTTATTGAAACAGATAGCCTGTGATACAGTGATCGAATCGAACAATAGAAACTTTTCTCATATGAAATTCTTTTTCATTTCCTAGTCAACCATTGAAAAATTGAAGAAAGAGAAGGACGCGGTCAAGCGGAATCTTGATAGAACATCGCGAGAATTACAAGACAGCCAAAACACTGTCGCGAGACTGGATGAAATACTGAAAGATCATGAATGTAAGATCTCAGAGAAGGAAGAGGATGGTAAACAAGCTGAGGCAAACTTGTTGAAGGTAAAATTGGAGAATGAGGAAATGCAACGAAGGTTGGCTGAGTTGACAACAGAGCTCTCTGAAAAAACAAACAATTGCGAGGACAGTTTGAACCAGGTAAAACTAAAGTGCTGTTCTATAACTGGATAGCTCTATCAGTTATAAACTGTTCTTCCTAGAAGCCTTGATAGCTCTATCAGTTCCAAATTGTTCTTCCTAGAGGTCCAGTAAGGATCATCTCTTATTGATCCAGTGTTACTACAGAAGGAAACCTAAACTAAACTAACTTTATTTATACTGGATAGCTCTATCAGTTCTAAACTGTTCTTATCCTATTAGATTGAACAACTAAATGAACAGATTAGCGAGCGAGATAACACGAACAACGAGCTGAGATCGGAGACGCAGCGTTTGGAGAAAGACGTGGAACGTTTGACTTCTGACCTGAGTGAACACACCATCAAATACGACGAATTGGAAAAGCTTTTCCAGGCGACCACATCGAAAGTTAAAGACCTTGAATCGAAGTTGAGAACAAGCTTTACAGAGAATGAGAAATACGAAACCGAGCGTCGTTCCTGGGTTGAAACTCAACGTGAGAAGGAAACAGCCAAATCAATGCTCGAACAAAAAGTTCTTCAGCTTGAGACGAAATTCAGGACGGCTGATTCCGAAAGAAAGGAGCTTAAAGGAAGAGTGTTTGCGCTTCAGGATGAAATCTCCGACCTCGAATTTAAGCTTGAGAGCAAGACAAGCGAAGGCAATTCGTTGGAGGCACAGGTGAAGATACTCGGTGAAAAATACGAGAAATGCTTGGAGGAGAACTCTCGAATTAACAGCGAAGCTTCCGAGTTAAGACTCTCTCTTGAATCGAGCCAACGAGACCTGAAAGAACGCGATGAAGAAGTCAAGTATTTGACGGATATGAAAACGAGGGTTGAAAATGAGATGATTTCTCTTAAGGAGAACATGTTTGCTGGCAAGGATTCTGGCAACAAAGAATCGCAGTTGCAAGAGAAGCTTCAGAGAGAGGTGTTGGACGCCCACAAGGCTGTCTCTGAGCTCGAAGTGCGCGTGAAGAAAGCGGAAACAAGTGAAAACAGGATGCGAGAGGAGCTGAGACGAAAGATGGAGAAAATGACAAGTTTGGAAGTCGAGTTGGATGAGGTAAAATACGCAGATCAAATGAAACAACAGATCTCTACAATTCAATTATGTTTTGCGCGCTGGTTAAAGACTCTCTAAGCGTTCCTTTCCAGCTGAGTTGAGCATGAAAACAAAAGTTTAAATTCTAGTTTGAATAAATTTCTTTTATTGAAAAATTTGAGTTCATTCGGTTATCCATCTTTAGTTGCTTGAGGCTGGTTTTGGGGCCGTTTTCCCCCTAGCTTTTTCCTCGTGTTGGATGCCAAAGCATAGCTTTAGGACTTTACCATAGTCAGCTTTTAAAACATTGTCAAATAGATTCAACTCACATCCCCTACACATCTTCAACTGTATTGCAATTTTTAGGTACTGGAAGAGAACGAAAGATTGGCGATAGTGATTGGTGAACTCAAACGTTCAACGGTAGATTACAAGAATCAGCTCGCAGGTGCTCGACGGGAGGTAAAGGACGTTTCGGGAAAGTTTGAAAAGGCAAAAGGAACATTGGAAGAGTCTACCACCGAGGTTGGTCGACTTAACGGCGAGTTGAACCGATTGGAGTCGGAAGTGACCGCCTTGCGCGAAAATAAGACGAGCAAAGAACGGGAAGTCACGAAGTTGACGCAAAAGGTTAGTACCAGTAGTGCGCTTTTATGCAGTACTATTATAAGTGTCTTGGCTCTTACAGCATGAACTGCAATAAAATCTGGAATGCTAACTACTATTTCAGTGTAATACTTGGTTGAAGCCAAAAATTGAAGCAAAAAACAGAAATTAAAAATTTCCTATTTGTTTTGATAGCTAGTTGAAGCATTTCAATCGTTTTTCTCAAAAGGTACAACAAATTGAAGAAGATCTAAGTGCGGCATCACAGAAGAAAAAACAGGCTGAAAAGTCTGCATTGGATCTGGAGGAGACAGCAAAATCCAGAGACACAGAGGTATCTTTCCTGAAGAGCAAACTACATGATGTGGAAATGGCGCACGCCAGTTTGAAAGAGAAGCAGAAAGATTTAGAGCAGGATTGTATCGTTGTGAAGAGCAAGTACTCAAAGCTGGAAGCTCACTATGAAACCGTCCACGAAAAAAAGGTATTTGTGCTTGTTTTCGTTGGCTTTATGGTAATTTTCTACAGACTAGCAGATCAAAATAGAAGATAGTAATAGTATATTATTAATAATACTAACTAGGTTTAAACCTACTAGGTTTAATGGACCGTTAAGCGAAGTAAAAAGTGAATTACACGTTGCAAAAAAGTTATTCACAACTTCTAATACGAAAAAACTGCGTTTAAAAAGTCGTATTTATGATCGCCATCAATGCTTTAACTTTAAGGTTAAAACTTCTTCAAGTCGGTTACACGGTGGATGTTTGTAATCTTTTTTGATCGATAAACAAATTCTCCGCAACAATTAATTCGCTCTTGTAGACAATTGTTTAAGTTGGGTTTTCATGGGACAAAATGGGATACATTCGGCCGTAGAGGACTTCTTAGTATTGACTAAGGGTAGTATTGACACCAAGTTAAGATGGCTAATTGACAGGTTGGACCGGATATTGTGTATATTGATGAACTTGCCTTTATGATGTGTGGCTAGTCCGAAACAGTGGTCCGGAATTTCAAACTGCCAATCTTGTTGGCTAATAGACCGTATGCATAATGACGTAACAAGCCGTGTTTCCCGCAGGGAGTTCTGGTCTTAGTAGTCACGGCGGGAAATTTTGAAGTTTGAATTTTTCGCCGTGACTACTAAAACCAGAATCCCCTGAAGGCGTCACAACTTGATACGTCATTATACGTAAGTTCTATTTACCTGCCAATTGCTAGGTTGTAGCCGAGCGTGGAAGCGAAATGGTTAAGAAGGAATGCGAGGAGCTACGCGCAAACTTACAAAGCGCAGAGAAGGAGTTGGACGACGTTCGAGTGGAACTAAGCTCGACCAAGAAGAAGGTTTCCACGTTAGCTAGGGAGAGTGTGGTCAAGGAGACAGCTGACCAGGATGAAGAAGAGGTAAAGAAGCTGCGGGCGCAGGTTACCGAACTCCTCGCCGAAGTGGATGACGGGAATAAGAAGGCAAAACAACAGGAAGTGACGTCAGAAAGATTGGCCAAAGATGCGGAACAAAAAACGAAGCAAATTGAGAAGATACGAGAAGAGAAGGATGCTTTGGTTGAGGAGAATAGCAAATTGCGTCAAGAGGTATATCTTTATTTGGAAATAAGCTAATATTAGCTTAAACTAAACTAACTTTATTTATACTGGATAGCTCCATCAGTTCTAAACTGTTCTTCCTAGAGATCCAGTAAAGATCGTCTCTTATTGACCCAGTGCTACTACAGGGGGGAAACCTAAACTAAACTAACTTTATTTATACTGGATAGATCTATCATTTTTAAACTGTTCTTCCTACAGGCCCACTAATGATCATCTCATGACTCTTATTTTAGATCAATATTGTCCAACTCTCAGCAAAAAATGTTCAAACTCGTTTCGAAGAGCGCGACCAGGAAGTGTTTGGAATGATGAAACGCCTTTCGGAATACGAACTCGAAGTCGGAGCTCTCAGAGATGAAAACGAAGACCTCAGTGAAGAATTAGACAAGTGTCAGAAAGATTTGGCTGACAATGACATCGAAATGCAGAGGATAAAGAAACAAAACGCTGCCGCAAAAGGCGAGCTTGAAGAGCTGACGGACCGAATGAATAAAACGAAAGATGAGATGACAAATCTGCAAAGGATTTTGGCAGAGAAAGACACCATCGTTGAAATGCAACGGAAGGAGCTTTTCGAAAAAGACGCAGACGTTGAAACCTTGAAAACCGCGAAAAAGATTCTTGGAAAGGATGTGAATTCTACGAAAGAACAGCTGGTCGCTCACAAAGAAAAGGTAACATCGTTTTTCATGTTTGAACATGATAAAGGACCGGTAGATGACGGAAAGTTTGCATGAAAGAGCTTTTTTAAGAACATCAAGGACGGTAATTTACTTTCAATGTTGAAGGTTCATGATAGAAAACTGCATCACCTGTTATCAAAATCGAGCATATTTTGCACAAAATAACAAATTTGCTGATGTTTTAGGTGGAGTTTCTCGAGCGTCAACACTATTCCGACAACATGTTAGTCCAGGACAAAGAGGCGAAGGTATCAGAACTGGAATACTCAATGCAAATGATGAAACAGGAAAATGATCGGTTACAACAAGAGATTTTGAAACTGAAAGATTTGATAAGCGAACTTCGAGGTAAGAATCAGAAACTTCAACAAGACTACGAAGGATCACAACGAGAGGTCCAGCTGGTGCAACAGAAGTTGGTGAAGATTGAAACGAAATATGAAAGTTTGGAGGAAACAAGAGTGAAACAGGTTCGATTATATTTGGAAGGTTGTAATGACACGCTTTTGGTATGGTGGCTCACATGAAGGGTTCTTGTATATCAGAATCGTAGCGTGTCTTTTTAGAAATATAACTTTTTGAAATAAATTTAAGTTAGACCTCTAGGAAGAACAGTTTAGAACTGGTAGAGCTATCCAGTATAAATAAAGTTAGTTTAGTTTAGGTTTCCTCCTGTAGTAATACTGGATCAATAAGAGATGATCCTTACTGGACCTCTAGGAAGAACAGTTTAAAACTGATAGAGCTATCCAGTATAAATAAACTTAGTTTAGTTTAGGTTTCCTCCTGTAGTAACACTGGATCAATAAGAGATGATCCTTACTGGACCTCTACGAAGAACAGTTTAGAACTGATAGAGCTATCCAGTATAAATAATGTTAGTTTAGTTTAGGTTTCCTCCTGTAGTAACACTGCATCAATAAGAAATTATCCTTACTGGATCTCCAGGAAGAACAGTTTAGAACTGATAGAGCTATTCAGTATAAATAAAGTTAGTTTAGTTTAGGTTTTCTTCTGTAATAACACTGGATCAATAAGAGATGATCATTAGTCATTACTGGACCTCTAAGAAAAACAGTTTAGAATTGAAAGAGCTATCCAACTGAGGAATCCTTCTGAGAACAGTGTTTACATTTTGTTTCCATATTTTATTTCATCAGGTTACGGAGCTGAACGAAATGAGACATAAAAACTCGGAAGTTAAGATCCTTCTTGATTCTACGGAAAAGGAAAAATCCAGATTGATGCAAGAAATCACTGACTCACGCGCTCAAAATGAACAAATAAAATCCTCGTTGGACGCGACGGTCAAAGCGAAAAGCAAGTCAAGCGAGGAACAAGATATCGCCAGCAGAAAATACGTTGAGCTCAAAGGCACTCTAGAAACAGCGAAGGGTGAGAGGAACGAATTTGAATCGAAATTTTTGGAAATGCAAGCAAAGACTTCAAGTCTCGAGAAAGAGTTGGCAAAATCTCGGAAAGACAAGGATGCAGTTGAGAAGGAAATGTTTGTTCTACGAAATAAGATGACCGAGCTTCAACTGTATCTCAAAGACAGCGAGAACAGAGAACGCATCGCTGCAGAAGAGCTGGCAAGTGTTCGACAGAACGTGACACGGGTTGAACGAGAGTTGGCGCAGTTTCGTAACAAGGCAACGCGACTCGAAGCAACCTTGAAGACCAGCAACGAACGATCTCAACACCTTTCAGACGAGATGGTCGACACGGAAGAAGAATGCGCAAAACTTCATCAGGTTAGATAGATATTTTCAATAAGCAATCTATCAAGGGCCACTCGGGAAGGAGGAGGGGAAAGGGATGTGGGAAAGGGAAAGTGGGTAGTTTGTCTCAGGCCTCAAACCGAATTCGGATAAGTGAAATGATGAATGTGTACAACGAATAAAAGATGAAAATGATGAGGTATTCACTCTGTCCTTTGTGGATCATTCCTACTCTTGAACTTTGATTTGGCTCGTAAGGTCCTGTCGGTAACGATACAAAAGGTATTATCCATGCAGCATTTGACCTTTTGATTTCATTGACTACAATTCCATTTCGGAAAGTGTCGAATTAAACATAGATAATTTCTCCAATGACCTTGTGAAACCAGGGAAAATAGAGATTTGTCTTTGATAAAAACGGTTTTAATTTTCAATGGCATACTGAACCACGCGTATTTTGAAGATATATTCCTGAAACTTGAATATGTTGAGAAGGAATTTTGATTTTCAGGTCATCGACGGTAATCGGGAAGAGATGGAAAAACAGAGACAAGAGCTGACTGAGTGTTATAAAAAGATCTCCGAACTCGAAGCTGCTTACGAGGGCTACGTCAACACACGTAACGAGCTACAGAAAGAGCTGCTACATGCAAACCAGAAATCAAATGAGATGGAAGACGAAGTTCAGACGACGCTTAAAGCCATCGCTCAAGTCAACGGGCTGTTGGAAGAATCTCAGAGCAAGAATGAACAATATAAAATTCAGGTGAGAGGAAGCAGATTAAAATGATATATGCATTGAGCATTTGCAAACAGCAGATAATGTTTTGTAAACAAGTAAGCCGTATAGTCCGTTTTTCTTTGCCAAGATTTCAATCTCCATCGTGTCGACTAGGATGGTATTATTATTAACTGTGCTTTATTCAAATCTATTTATTTGATTTGGTAAATAGAAATTGTAATTTATCCGTAGGTGCGACAACTACAAGAACGAATTTTGGAGAAGCAACGATCCTGCGATGTGTTGTTCTCAGAAAAAGCAGAAATGATGGGCAAAGTCGATTCACTCGAGGAAGAAGCTGTGAGATTTGAAAGAGAAATTAGCATTCTGAAACACGAGGTGAGAATTTGGCAGGATGGAATTAGAAATACTCTCAATTCTCATATGGGTATCGTTTGAACCAATCTTTGATTTTCTAGATTTCCACAACGAAAGTCGACTACGAGAGTTTACTGTCGGAGAAGACGAGCTTGGAAGAAAGCGTCATTCAGCTGAACTTGATCGTCAAGGAACACGAGAACGAGAAGGAAGAAATTAGAAAAGAAAATGAAGTACTAAGCAAGGATATGACCGCTGTGAAGAATGATTTATCAACGCTTCAAACCTCCCTCGAGTCCAATGTCATTACGAAGAGTACCGTGGAAGAGGTAAATGAATTGTAATCATAGTTCAAAGGCTAGGAATCGATGCGGCAACATTGCAAACCTTTTAACACTACCTTTAGTTAACTAGGTTTTCTAAAATCTCGTCCAACTTCCTTGTGTTAGGTTGCTAGTTCAAACAATGAGATGGATCTCTTCACCATGATGGAGTTGGAAGAACTGCGTTCAGAACGCGCAAAGTTGCAAAAGGAATTAGCGTCCTTGAAACAACAAGTTCGTGAAGACGAGCAAGTCAAAACACAACGTGACCAACTCGAGACGGCACTGGCCGAGTCCACAGCGAAAAGCACCGAATTAGAGACGACGCTTTCCGACCTGGAACGAGAGAAGAACATCGCGTTGAAGAATTTGGAGCAAAGTTCCATCAAAGTCAAAGAATGTGAAACCAATATGGAAACACTTCGTGATGATTGCGCTGAGGTGAAAAATGATTTGATATCAGCCGAGCAACGAATTTCCGAGCTGGAAGCACTACTCCAAGTTTCTCAGAATCGCGCAGATGAGTTGGAACGTGATTTCGTCGCCACAAGAGAGCGTAATGTCCACCTGGAGACTGGCTACAAAAGAATCCAGGACATCGAATCCGGGCTGCGCGAGGAGATTGTGAGTCTGCACAAAAGAGTGACCGTTTCCGAGAAAGAACTGGCGGAGAAACGAGATCAGATGGAGGCGTGGGAACGAGCCCGGGAGGAGGATTCTGGAAAGTTTCAGACGTTAAGGAAGGATTACGAAGATGTCTCCAGAGAGTTGACAGGAATGAAGTCGGTGAAGAGTTTGGATTCTAATCAAGTGAGTAACGAGTTTAGAACTGATAAAGCTAATTATAATTCAATAAAGTTAGTTTAGTTTAGGTTTCCTCCTGTAGTAACACTGGATCAATAAGAGATGATTCTTTCTGGAACTCTAGGAAGAACAGTTTAGAACTGATAGATCCATATCTCCATCCACAAATGAAGATTTGCACCTGTAGTGGCAACATCAGAAGCAGTAACGGACTTTTAAAAGGAAATCTCTACGAAAAGAACCGTAACGAATATACTAATGAATTGATCTTTTAAAGGTTGACCAACTACAACAACGTTTGATGTCAATGGAAAGGAAGCTTTCCGACAAGGAACAAGGAATGAAGGATCTGAATGTAGATAACTCGCAAAAGCAGTTCGAGCTTGACAGAATGAAAGCAAAGATCTCTCAACTACAATTAGAGATAACAAATATCTCTCAGGAAAAAACTACGTTGATCGCTCAGTTTGAAGAAAGCAAAAGAAAGTACAAACAAGACTTGTCCATTTCTTCCAGCAAAGACGTGCAGTTGAAGGAAGTCACAACAAAGATAGAGACGTACAGGTTTGAACTTTATTAATGTATTGCTGGATATGTACCGGATAGCTCTATCAGTTCTAAACTGTTCTTCCTAGAGGTCCAGTAAGGATCATCTCTTATTGATCCAGTGTTACAACAGGAAGAAAGCTAAACTAAACTAACTTTATTCATACTGGATAGCTCTTTCAGTTCTAAACTGTTCTTCCTAGAGATCCAGTAAGGATCATCTCTTATTGATCCAGTGTTACAACAGGAGGAAACCTAAACTAAACTAACTTTAGTTGTATTCACTTAATAAATTAATTCCAAACATGATATAATTCTCCTCTTCTTTTCTAGGCTAGAAATAATTGAGAAAACAAAGATGATAGAGACACTACGTAACGAAAAAGTATCGGTTGAAACTAAACTTCGTACAACCATCCAGAACTATGATAAGTTACAAAGCGAAATCACAATACTACGAAAAGCCGAAGAAGACTCCGAAAGGTATCTGTAGTTTTATATTGAACTTTTGTATAAAAATGACAAATAAAAGGCGTATAACCAATCCATTCTATCTTAAAAACGCGAATTAAAGCTGTATTAATATGTGTGTTTGTCATGAATATATCCATCTTGAATCTACAGGCTTTTTGAAAGCAACGAGGCAAAGAACAAGAATCTTGAAAAGGAGTTGCAAGCTGTTCGTGAAGAAAATGATCAGATTAGAAATAAGATGATTGAAGCTCACAAAAACGTCTGCAGCCTCACTGAAAGTTCGTCCGACTCTGAAAAAGAGAACGCAAGAATGAAACAAGAGCTGGCTCAACTGCAGAAGAGAGTCTCCGAACTTGAGCGGGAATGTCGGGAACATATCTCGAAATGCGACAAGCTGTTGGAGGAAAACAAAAGCATGAATGACGAGATTTTGAACTCCAGGAAGAAAAAAGAGGAAGCTGAGAATGATTTGAAAGCTTCAAAACAAGAATTTGGCGAGTTGAAAGCTAAAGTGCAAGATCTCGAAGGTTTGTGTTCAATTTTCAGCATTATTTGCAACGAAAGGTCCTTTAAAGGAGCTTACTAAATTTATTTATGACTGGATAGCTCTATCAGTTCTAAACTGTTCTTCCTAGAGGTCCAGTGAGGATCTTCTCTTATTGATCCAGCGTTACTACAGGAGAAAAACTAAACTAAACCAACTTTATCAGTTCTAAACTGCTCTTCCTAGAGATCCAGTAAAGATAGATTTTCTTTATTTAAAGGTGCTATGACCACAGAGCACAGTCGAGGAAACGCGATGAAGAATGACTTAGATACTTGGCAAAAGAAGGCGACAGAAGCGCAAAAGAACTTTGAGAATTCATCAAAACGAAACAAGGAATTCGATCAGGAAATATCCGAACTTAAACAACAGTTAACCCAGATGAAATATCAAATTGAGGCTTTAGAAATTGAGAAGAAAGATAAGCTACAGTTACAAGAGAAGTTGAGCTCGTCTGAAGCGAAGTATAAAGAGTTGGTGAAGCGAAACGAGAGAGACCAAGGCGAATTCTCGAGCGTGGAACACCTCAACGAAACTTTGAAAGAAGAGAATCTTCAATTGCACGTAAATCTTGGCAGAGAAAAAGAAGAAAAATCCAATTTGGAAATAAAGGTAGGTTCGGTTGGCTCTCCAAAATGTCTTACATGGCTGGATGCTAGAGAATTTTGCTAAACCAGTTATTTTGCTAATTGCTTAGTGGATTTTAAAACAATTAAATGGTCGCTTTGTTATAGCTTGCTAAGACAGTTGAAAAGAAAAATTAAAATTTACTTGAATAGGTTGTACTTTCTGAGACATGTTTAGTTTTTTAGCATTGCTGCTCTGTAGAATAGCTTGCATCTTTGGAAGGAAATATAACTGAACCTTTTGTCTTTGTAGATAACTATCAAAGAAGCAGAACTCCGAGAAATGGCCGTCCAACTGAACGTCCTCACGCAGGAAGTCGAGAAGATGAAATCGCAAGCTGGCAACGAAAAGGGGGAACGAGACTCGCTCGAACATGAATACGACGCTTTGAAAATTGAAAATGGAAAGTTAGAACATGAATTGAAAGAAACAAATGAGACAATCGACTCCTTGAAACGAAGGCTGGAGTTGATGACGCAAAACTACGAGAATGAGATGAAACAACTTGAAATATTGCGAGCAGAAGAGACGGAAAACAAACAAACAATCGAGAGGTAATTGACCGTTTTCACTTTATAACAAAGACGTCATTGATATATTCTGACTCGATTGCGTCATGCTGACGTGATTGACATATTCTTTTGTATGCATAAGGAATAAAACCAAGTGGTCTTACTGAGTGTGTATAAGAAAATATGTAAATCAGCTTGTATTGTGAAAGTTGTGAATGAAAGTGGTCGCGAACTGGTCGATGTGATTCCATGAGAGTTGGTTAGATAAGACAAGAGTCATATTTTTAATTCAGGTTAAGCTAAAATACATCTCAGCCTGCGGTCTAAGATATAATTCAGCCGCTTAAAAATATTCATTTCTTCTGCAAACAGACAGCAAACTATACACCGTAATATCCGCGTTGAAGTTTTTAGATATAGCTATATACTCACTGCATATATGAACTGGTACGAGATCTTATCTGCTGAGGTACTCAGTCAGAGAGCAGCCAGTAATACAGTGAGAATTTGTGGTAAGAATCTAATATAGTTTTGCACATTAAAATTCTAAAAATTTCGCCTATATTCTAAAACAATTATACCATTTGCTCACGTCATATGGCTGATGGCCAACTATAGTATTTGGCTTCGCTTCGTTGGGACATCTCGCAGCTCTCGGAAGCTTTCGTCCAATTGGATAGTGCTTCTCTATGCTTTCTAAAGAACGAAGCTATGCTATTGGTTGAAACAGAAATGTATTGTAAAGTTCAGCCAATGAAAATCAATTTGTATCTATAGGTTACAGAAGGCAAACAGCAAGGAAGCTCGGCAACGCAAAGCTGTTGAATACGAGCTGAAGTTGGTTCTGGAAAAACACTCCGATTTGGAAGAGCTTCACAAGAAATGCGAGATTGAAAAGAAATCTTTAAGAGATGAAGTTATGGAAAGGACACGTGGTGGTGATGAGGGATATAAGACGATGGAGTTTATTGTTGGGAAAGAAAAACAAGAGCTTGAGTACCAACTGCAAGATGTAAGATTTTTATGTCGCTGTTAACTAGCTGATCCTTACTGGACTTCTAGGAATAACAGTTTAGAACTGATAGAGCTATCCAGTATAAATAAAGTTAGTTTTGTTTAGGTTTCCTTCTGTAGTAACACTGGATCAATAAGAGATGATCCTTACTGGACCTCTAGGAAGAACAGTTTAGAACTGATAGAGCTATCCAGTATAAATAAAGTTAGTTTTGTTTAGGTTTCCTCCTGTAGTAACACTGGGTCAATAAGAGATGATCCTTACTGGACCTCTAGGAAGAACAGTTTAGAACTGATAAGGCTATCCAGTATCAATAAAGTTACTTTAGTTTAGGTTTCCTCCTGTAGTAAATAACTGGATCAATCAGACATTGATCAATGATCCTTACTAGAATTCTAGGAAGAACTGTACATATCTCGAAGTTATAGAGCTATCCACCGAAAGAAAACTTAGTTTATAAAAACTTGATGTCCTATCCAAGCATTTACCGTCACTTTTTTATTTCCATACTAGCTTAAAGAGAAGTTAGCTAAAGTTGAGTCAGGCAGTGTTGATGCGAAGGCTGGGGAGAGTGAACTGGCGGCTGAAGTTGAGAACGCGAAGGTGGAAATTTCAACATTAAAAGTAGAGTTGGACACTGTGAAAAGAGAAAGAACGACATTGGAAATTGAAGTGAAGAAATACAAGGAAATTGAAGCGTCCAAGAACGAAGAAATTAGCACGCTACAAAACCATGTGTCGACCTTAGAAATGGAAGTTAAAGTGATTAAGAAAGATTTGTCCGATAGTCAGAGATCATACCGTGAGCTCCTGCTGAAGTTTGAGCCAGAACAGAAACCAGGAGTCGCTAGGAGCACATTGGAGCTGCCACTCGGCGTCAAAACCAGAGAAACATCGACTACACAAATTGCCATCACCAAGACGAGCGCGCAATCCACGTCTTCAAGTTCGTATGACGTCACTAGTCCCAGTTCCCCACGGATGACTTCGCAGTTGACGATCGGTCCCAAACGAGGCTCGAAGTCTACGTCGCCCTCTAGTCCCAGGATGATATCTCCCGCCTCTCCCAGGAGCGCTGGAACTAATTCACCGACATTTGGCGTGCAATCAAAATTTGGGTAAGAAGATTTCTAATATTGTTATTCCTGGTTGACGCGCCATAGTTTTTTGGGCGTATACCCTGTGCAACCCTCCCCCCCCCTCAGTGACATTAACAATTGAGAAATTCATTGAACAGGTTCAAGGCGGATTCGAAAAGGGAACGAAAGCGTACGACCAGTAGCGAAGTGACAATGTTGGAGATCGAACACAGGTCGAAGACTCCCGAGTCCGAGACGATGATCATCTCACCTAAAAGTCCGACAAAAAGTCCGAGCAAACAAGTCTCAATGATGAGGCTGAACGTCGGGGAGACACGGGATGCGACCGCTCTCGAGATGACAGTCGCGCGGGACGAGAAACAGGGTGAGTTCGAGATTGCGGGCTTGGACGCCCAACGCAAACGGCGGCAAGAAAGAAAAGTAAGGTTGAACCAAATAAGTAAACGACCGCCAATAGAATGAGTTGGCAGCATTTACTTTTTTAAACTTTAGCAAAACGTAAAGATATACGCACTCATTATTCAATCTTGTTATTTCAAACATACACTAGAACTTTGCAAAATACACGATATCTAATCAATAATATTTTTAAAATAACATGCACGCATTGTCACAGACACAAAGAACTGTAAGATATAAATAATGCACTTTTTTGTAAATATATTTACGCGGATCTAATCAATGTTATTAGTTATGACTGAATTACACTTATAAATATTCCTGAAGATTTGCATATTTTACGCAAGCTCGCAAGCCAAAGCGAATAGCCTGGGAACGGATTTGTATTTTTTGTAATTTGTAGTCAAGTCAGTCTTTGTACTAGCGTTTGTAATATCATGAAAAATATGTTATCAAGTCTTAGTACAGATCAGTTCACTGGTACAGATCAGCGATATATATATATTTTACACTCTGAACTTTACCGTATGTAAATTGTAAATGACGGTGCTTTTGAAGAAAGGACCATATAATCGCACATGCGCAGATTAAAAACATGACGAGGCCGAGCGAATTTGCATACTAATGTGCATTGGGTCTAGCTGTGCCATATATGGGCATGATGTCTGTTTAGTCACATGACAATTGTTTTTTAAACGACGAAAGGAAAGCAAGACAACGAGAAAGCCGCGATATATGTTCTGTATTTTTGCTTTGTTCGTGAATTTTACGCATTATGTAAGTATTCTACGTATTGTACTAACGATTTGGCCATTACTGCTTTGTGTGGGTTTCGTTTACTTGTGTTTCGTGCGTGATTCAGTGACTGTTTTGATGAATTGCGTTTGTCAACGAGCGGCGAAACTCGATAGCTGATTCCCCTTTATATATTTTGTATTATATATGAATACGAGAGCCGCTTTTGGGATTCGGCATCTCAGGAAGAAACGTTATAACAGTGTGTGATAGCTGTACTCTTCCTTCCCGCTAACAGGTTTCTGTTACATCTGTGGCCACAACTTGTAAACTTTCCCAGCTCATTTTATAATTTATATACAAAAGGGTTCTTGTTTGTACTAAGTTCTTTTGGCCTTCGGGCAAATTGAATCTTTCTCTAAAGCGAAACCCGTTTCCTTTCGTCTTTCAGGATAGCCGACTGAATAGCTGACTGACAGCTGAATGAAGACAGACACTTGGAAGCGATTTTGTATCCGTGATAGAAGTCTCAAATTTTGTCGAAAGACATTTTAATATTGCTGAAAGCCCTCGTCGAGACCCGTCAAACCTACGCGAGATAAAGATCAGGACCTTAAAATGACTGACAGAGTGAAACAGGCGACTGAGGAGCCCTCGAATGAGCCGCCTAAAAGCAGCAGTCAGACGCCGAAGAAACACAGTCGTTTTCGTTCGTCGATGAGGAGTGTTTTTGGCCGAAGTAGCAAGGCCAGTAAACATGACGAAAGCGGACAAACAAAATCAGGAAAGGAATCCAGCTCGTCACATTTACGGAAAAGTGCGTCAGAAGCTGTCTGTGTATGCCCTGTTTGCTATGTCGTTAAACCGCAATCCTTATTTCCCGATATTTCGACCTGCGAGCATCGAACTTGTGGTGATTGTCTCAGACAATACATGATTATTGAAATCAATGAATCTAGGGTGAATTTAACTTGTCCTGAATGTTCAGAACGATTTCACCCAAACGATATTAGGTTCGTACTCAATGATGAGGCTCTTATGAACAAATACAGCGAGTTCACCCTGAGGCGAACCTTGGTATCGGATCCTGACTGCCGTTGGTGCCCTGCGCCGGATTGCGGGTATGCCGTAATAGCTGCTGGCTGTGCCAGCTGCCCGAAACTGACATGCCAACGAGAGAAATGTAAAACTGAGTTCTGTTATCATTGTAAACAAATCTGGCATCCAAATTTGACTTGTGACATGGCTAGGCAGAGACGAGCCTCAAATATTCGAACCTTGCCCATGAATGATGGTAAAAGTTTATCAGGTGAAGACATGAAGCCTTGCCCAAGGTGTGGTGCTTTTATCATAAAGTTAGATGATGGTACATGTAACCATATGACCTGTGCCGTGTGTGGTGCCGAGTTCTGCTGGTTGTGTATGAAAGAGATCTCGGATCTTCACTACTTAAGGTAAGCCTGACTAATCTCTGGTATGGGAAATTCTGTAGAATAGACAGCATTTATATCTCTAGTATCTGTCTGGCAAAGATAGGGATTTGCCAGGACCTGCTGTGGCTTATATTTTGCCTGAATTTTTCAAGAAATATTACTTCAAAGAATATGGGGTAAAAGAGTATGCCACAATAAGCTACAATGATTCATTTCCTCGCTCGTTTAAAAATGTTCCAGAAAGCGGCCAGCCTTGAAATGCCTAATGGGAGGAAAACAAAAAAATTTTCAAAGACAAAGTACATTAATATTGTCTTTCAATATGGACCACCTGCAATCTCATTTAGACTAAAGTGCTGATTTGCATTTAATTGCAACATTGAAATGTTTAATAAAGCAAGATGCATTTTATCTGTTGCAAATATCTCACTCATTTATTTAACCATTGTTATAAGTAACAGATAGTTGGCAAGTAGGATGACTTTATGTGTTAAAAATCTTCAGAGATGCTGCCCTCGGGAGAGTACTTGTCACGTAAACCTTGACTTCTAAAGTGTTTATCAAACTTGCCTATCACAAATTTTTTTAATGTTCATAAAATAATGCTTTCAACTCTTGATATTTCCTAGAAAACATTGTTGGCCTACTGCCTTTTATACCATTTATATATGAATCACACAATTTGTCCTATCCATATGTGTATAATAATGACTTGTGTTTCTGATATTGGCTGAAATGTATTTGATTGCTGTCTATTCCTGTCAAGATTAAGATTTAAATTAATCTTGTGCATTATTGATTTTAACAGGCCAATGTAAGTTTCATCAGTACCCAATTGTACTTTCATTATAATGCTACTGCATCACAACAAAATACTAAACATGCACTACAAAAAATATCAGAGACATACTATATTAAATGGGAATGCAAGCCCTGTGAATACCAAATATAAGTGAAAGCCAAAACTACTTATGGCCAATACATTTGTTATTAAAGAAAGCATGACACTATATGTCCTCTTTTCATAATCTGATTTCAAAAGTGATTAATATCTTACATATTCAGTATATTGTGTTATTAAGTTGAGATATAAAAATAGAGATGATTTTGACAGCAAGGAAATAAACTCGTAAAGTGTCAAAGGGAGTGAAGTTCAATTCAATTTAGGAAATTAAATGTAATCAACTTGAGTCCTAATATTTTCACTTTGCTATTCTCCTCAGCCTAATATGAAACAATGCTGAGTAATTCTTTTGAAGAAAGGAAGTCGTTTTGCTTATAGGAAAATGATTGAGTGGGTGCATTGGAATAAATTATAAGATAATGAGTTGGCACTTGAAATTTATTTCTTATTCAAATTTTCAGTCCATCTGGCTGCACGTTTTGGGGAAAGAAGCCATGGAGTAGAAAGAAGAAAATTCTCTGGCAAATGGGCACGTTGATTGGTGCTCCATTAGGGATTGCGTTAGCTGCAGGGGTTGTACTCCCTGCCATGGTGATTGGTATTCCAGTCTATGTTGGGCGGCAGGTATGCTAAACAACTACAATATGTTCAGGGACTGATAGAGCTATCCAGTGTAAATAAAGTTTAGTTTAGGTTTCCTCCTGTAGTAACACTGTATCAGTAAGAGATGATCCTTACTGGACCTTTAGGAAGAACAGTTTAGAACTGATAGAGCTAACCAGTATGAATTAAGTTGGTTTAGTTTAGGTTTCCTCCTGTAGTAACACTGGATCAATAAGAGATGATACGTACTGGACCTCTAGGAAGAACAATTTTGAACTGATAGAGCTATCCAGTATAAATAAGTTTAGTTCATGCTTTGCTTTATTAATATTTTCATATTACTTTACAGATGCATGAGAAATACAACCGGCCATATCATACCAAAAAGAAGAGGAACATTGCCATTGTCAGTGGAGTAACATTATCCATCTTGGTCTCGCCCATGCTTGCTGCATTGACCGTAGGTGTTGGGGTACCCATCGCCCTTGGCTACATCTATGGGGTTGTGCCAATCTCGTTGTGCCGCAGTGGTGGCTGTGCCTCAGTGACAACCCTAAAGAACGGCAGAGGCGTGAACCTGGAGTTTGACTCCGAGGGCGACATGGCTACGAACCCTAATGAGCGATCGACTGCAAATGAGGCAAGCTCTGCTGCAGATGAGAACATTGACAGTGTCGTAACTGTTGTAGCGACAATAAACACAAGAGCACCAGGTAATGGATGCCTTTCATTTACATAACAGACATCAAGTAAAATTTAGCTGCTTTCAGCAGCACCAACAATTTTAGCAGCGTTTCAACCAATAGTTTAATTCTCTTCAACTGATCACCTAAAAAACAATCTATTTTGCATGTTATACAGTGAACTAATGTTATATCAATTTTTTGAAATCACCTAAGACTAACTTTGTGTTTGTAGTTGCCTGTCATTTTGGTTTGCAAATTACAGCAGGTAAATATTATTTGTTTGTTTTTTTATAGACGCGGAGAGTGGTAAACAGCCTAGTGTGAGTTTGAGCCAAGAATGCTATAGTCTTGCAAGTAGCAATATCGAGCCAAGTGGACGTGAGGATAGTGGCTCCATGATTCCTGGGCCTCGTAGCTGTGCAGTGAGCATCGCAAGCAGCATTGAGAATTTGAACATAAATGTCTCGGACAATCCCAGCCCATCGCTAGAGGTCGGCGAACATGACAGAGTAAGCACAAGTAGCCTAACTGGTAGTAAGGCGATGAGCGAATCCTCGTTGAAGAAAGTCGTTCAACTTAAGGTGGCTAGTGAATGTGTAGGTGATGTAGAGCAACCAACCATTGTTGCCGAATCATGAATTGTACCCTTGTAAATAATGCTTTAGATATTGATAAAAGTAAATCTACACTGTCCATGAAGATGTCTGCATGTTGCAGTGGTCCTGTGAGGAACTCTGCCCTCTCTGAGGGATTAATTGGGTCTTCCACTGCTTGCACTTCACATCCCCCTGCCCCCTGTGAGGGAAAATTCCAGTTGAGCTTGAAATAGTCGGCCAATGAAATAATAGAGTGAGTGCATCGTCAATTTGTTGTATTATCCTTAAAATGTTTCTATTTTAATTGACGTGAATTTATGCATATGGTGTTTTCTTTTCACACATAATTATTGCTTTAGTCACAAGAAGAAAAAAGAATTGAACTATGCAAGACACTGAAGTGAATTTGTACATATGGGTACTGTCAGTGCTGCCCTGAGCTAATCAATAGCCAACTTTCACATCATTTTGTACATGGTATTTTTGAGATAGTGCATTGTTAAAGTGTAAAGCAACTGTGTGTTCACAGTTCACAGTTCACTTGACTTTCTCACACTTGTCTGTATGACCACTGTAACTATTTCCAATGTTGATATAGATAATGTAGGCTAGAATTTAAATAGTTGTTGAGTTAATTTATAAATAGTGTAGATTTGTGAAGTTTAAATGATTTTTGTTGCAAGTTAGAAAATGGTAGAATAAAAACCTCTTTCCAAACCTAAATGTTTATATTTTTGAGTATTTTTGAGTATTTTTGAACCATGCCACAAGTATCACATTCTCCAGCAGTATTTAGTAAACAGCACCATTATCAGAATGCCCCCTCCCCTACCCCGCCTGGTGACAGTGGTGTGCCCCGGGGGGAGAGTGGCTTAAGGTTCGCAGAGTGAAAAATCTCGGGCCCAAAATTGCGGGAGAAATCAATATTTCTCGCAATTTTCTATTCCCGAAATATTTCTCGAGCAATTTTTTGGCCGCCTGTGGTGCCATTGCGAAATTTACAAAACAAAGATCAAAGTTCAGCTGCAAATAGTCAAATACTTGCAATTATTTTATATAACTCATTCTAGAATATTCTTTGTAATTTTTCTGTTGGATTTTGAGGTCGTTTAAAGGTCGTGTTTATCGTCTATAAATATGGCATCTTCTACGTTTGCAGGTAAGAAAAAATCTTTGAATATTGGCGCCATGCCATGCCGCCATATGATATGGGAGATGGATGTTATGTTATATAATTTATGTACGTTATTTGATGCAAATTGCACAACAGATATTTTGCGGTCAAGCCTTGCAGAGAATTGCAAATGCAAAACAATTTGTTGCAAAACAAAAGGTTGTTTTTGGTGTATATTTCTGGGGGTTATAAGAGTTGGGGGTAGACACCCTAGATCACCTCTCACGTGGGAAGAGGGTGCTAAAATATATCAAATTCTCCCTGCTTTAAGTTCAATAATATTGTACTCACTAAGGGGCTAAACATTGTTGAGGATACATAATTTGGGTTTCGTTATTGTTTTTTTTTAATTTTAGCATGTAACATAACCCTTGTCTTAGCCCAACAAAAAATCGATCATTTGAAATTAACCTAATTTATTCCTGGAGTTGGTGGTGTTTTACAAGACAGGTGAACACCATGTAGTTCACATGGCCAGTTGGCTGGTGTGGGAGTGCTTTGATCAATAAAGCTTAGCTAAGCCATTGGGGCAGTTTCCTATATAGTATTATAAACTTTTTTCCTTTAAACTTAAAGTACAACTCACATCAATTGTGTTTAAGAACTGCCTGAAGAAAAATATTGTTTCTCCTCTTACTGCAGTGCATTATAGGTATATTTAAACAATTTCATGTACATGCAATTCCAGACCGATTTGTTATTTTCTTGGGAACTTTGGTTAATCTTCAAACATTTGGAGTTGCTGTTGGATACTTGATTATGGTTTTCCTTTCACCATTATGGAGAAAATATGTAAAACCATTACAATTAAATATGGTATGTTTTCAGCTCTGAATTTTATTAAAACAATAATATGTATGAGCCTGCATATCCATGAACTACATATGAAAGCTAAACAGTTGGTTCTAAACTGTTCTTTCTTGAGGTCCAGTTGGGATCATCTCTTATTGATCCAGTGTTACTACAGGAGGAAACCTAAACTAAACTAACTTTATTTATATTGGATAGCTCTATCAGTTCTAAACTGTTCTTCCTAGAGGTCCAGTAAGGATCATCTCTTATTGATCCAGTGTTACTACAGGAGAAAACCTAAACTAAACTAACTTGATTTAAACTGGATGGCTCTATCAGTTCTAAGCTGTTCTTCTAGAGGTCCAGTAAGAATCAAGGTCAATCAAAAGGATTGTCTCTTATTAATGTAATGTTAACTTACAAAACAGAACTTGAGTGATTTTTTTATTTTCTCTTTGATAATATTTGTTTTTGTTTTAGGTCATGGTGGTATATAACTTCTTCTGCAGTGCGCTCAGTCTCTATACTGTTATTCGTTTCGTTATTATATTTATCACGACTATGGATCTGTTCGACATGACGAATCACAAGGATCTAGCCCATCCATTGTTCATGTATTTCATCACAAAATGGATAGAACTTCTTGATACGGTGTTCATGATTTTACGGCATAAGGAAAGACAGATATCATTTCTACATGTAAGTTTCTATATATACCAGAAAGCAGCGTGGCAGCATCTTCAAACAACTTAGCAGTTAGCTGTTAGCATCAAATGTGGTATAACAACTGCCTAAAATAGACAAAACACTTCTTGACGTTTCGACCTAAGGGCCATCGTCATGAGAGTTAATATTCATACTATACTAACTCATTTTCATACTAACTCTCCTGACGAAGGCCCTCAGGTCGAAACGCCGAGAAGTGTTTTGTCTATTTTAGGCAGTTGTTATACCACATTTGATGCTAAATTTCTATATATTCCCATTTTTTCTAAAACGTCTATAACCCTCCTCTAGAAGGTTATGCATCAATCCATATAAAGATTGATCCTTTTGAATGTTATGTGATGTATTATTGCTGATCTGTATATTTTTCTTGATGGTTATATTTTCATGTAACGAGAAGAGGATAGAAAATTTCCAGTAACTTAGTTCTATTATTAAATTTACTGGTCACCAAAGCCAGGTTAGCACTATAACCCTGGGTTGGATTTTAATCCAGTGTTTTAGTTTACGTGCCTCTGAACCACTCATTTTAAAACTTTAGAAAATATTATTTCTATTGGTCCAGAAAATATGTATGAAAAAAAAATATTCAACTTTGTAAACAAGTGGTGAAAAAAAATTAATGTAAAGATTTGCTTTAACCCAGGGTTAAGCTAACCAGCTTTCAAACAATCGGTCCCTGGCTGCAAAGTCGTAGCCTAGGTTGCTATGACTGTTATATTGAATACTGCTATATTTACATGAATTTTCATGAATATGGCAAAATTCCCTCTGGTACCACACCCACCTACTCACTGGTGTTTTGCAACTCTAGTCCATTTCAGGGTTAATTGTACAATATTTTGCACAATATTTCATTAATTTTATCATAAGATACATTAATTATTTAAAACATATTACAAATATTTATGTGCATATAAGAACATACATTGGGCATAATTGAAGCAGGTAGTTTTAAAGACGGGTTACAGGGCTTCTGCACATCGGTTCTGCTTAACATTGGGGGGCTCCATATGATTTAGAAATTGTCCAAATTTCACAATATTTTTTGAATTTCAAGGAACATAAACTTTCTCTCTCTCTCTCTCTCTCTCTTACTCATTTAGAAGTAAAGTGAATTATGAAATACTAATAAGTATTTCAACAGGGCAGGACATTTTTAAGCGATATAGCGATTCAATATGTAAACACAGTTTTTGTTTACATTACCGGCTGTAACCCACCTTTAAGGTTCTACCATTATCTTCCTAGGTCTATCATCACTGTTCAGTGTTGCTTCTGAGTGATCTAGCTTACCGTGGCTACCGATGGCCGCCAGTTGGTTTCATTCTCTGTATGAACTCATTTGTCCATATATTCTTGTACCTCTACTATGGTCAATCAGCACTTTTTCCAGGACAAAGCCCTTTGTGGAAAAAGCGTCTTACTCAATTACAAATCTTTCAGTTTGTTATTGGACTGGCACATACCTCATGTGGCTACCTGTACCATGGCTTTTGCCTTTATGGCCCATTCTATGCACTAAGCATGATGCTCCTATTTTCAAATTTTTACTACAATGCATTTGTTCGTCAAAGATCTAATAATAGTGCTAAGAAGACAAGTTAGGTGAATTTTTGTGATATTTCTGAATATACTTACGGTAATTGAATTTTCTATATGCTTTGACAAAATTCATGAACATTTAACAATTCCATAGGCAAAAAAGAATTGTTTTCTCTATGACAATGAAAGAAGTTTCAATTAATTCATTAAACAATAAAGGACTTTTAAAGTAATAGCATTTCATGTTGTTGACTTGTAATATGTCAGAAAAGGATTCGAAGTCGAGAAGAAGGAAAATTGTAAGTGGAGGGGAGACAGGATTGAGTGGAAGTGTTGGGAGAAAGGTTTAAGTGTGGCAAAAGGTGTATGGAATTCAAGAGCAGTCATGATGGTGTAGTGGCTAAGACAAGTGACTGGTAACTAGGCAGGTGGTGGTTTGAGCATGTGAAGTGTCAATAGAAGAAGTTGATTTTTCGATTGATTTATTAGGTGTAAGTTTTGGAAGTAAGGTTTCAGTGTGGCAAAAGATGCATGGGTTTCCCGAGATGACTGCCTGAGATGACTGCCCGAGATGACTGGCCGAGATGACTGCCTGAGATGACTGCCCGAGATGACTGCCCGAGATGACTGCCTGAGATGACTGCCCGAGATGATTGCCCGAGATGACTGCCTGAGATGACTGCCCGAGATGACTGCCTGAGATGACTGCCCGAGATGACTGCCCGAGTTGATTGCCCGAGATGACTGGCCGAGATGACTGCCTGAGATGAATGGCCGAGATGACTGCCTGAGATGACTGGCCGAGATGACTGGCCGAGATGACTGCCTGAGATGATTGCCCGAGATGACTGCCCGAGATGACTGGCCGAGTTGACTGCCAGAGATGACTGCCCGAGATGACTGCCTGAGATGACTGCCCGAGATGACTACCCGAGATGACTGGCCGAGTTGACTGCCCGAGATGACTGCCCGAGATGACTGGCCGAGATGACTGCCTGAGGTGACTGCCCGGGATGACTGCCCGGGATGACTGCCCGAGATGAATGCCCGAGATGATTGCCCGAGATGACTGCCTGAGATGACTGCCCGAGATGACTGCCTGAGATGACTGGCCGAGATGATTGCCCGAGATGACTGCCTGAGATGACTGGCCGAGATGACTGGCCGAGATGACTGCCTGAGGTGACTGCCCGGGATGACTGCCCGGGATGACTGGCCGAGATGACTGGCCGAGATGATTGCCCGAGATGACTGCCTGAGATGACTGCCCGAGATGACTGGCCGAGATGACTGCCTGAGGTGACTGCCCGGGATGACTGCCCGGGATGACTGCCCGAGATGAATGCCCGAGATGATTGCCCGAGATGACTGGCCGAGATGACTGGCCGAGATGACTGCCTGAGATGACTGCCTGAGATGACTGCCTGAGATGACTGCCTGGGATGACTGCCCGAGATGACTGCCTGAGATGACTGCCCGAGTTGATTGCCCGAGATGACTGGCCGAGATGACTGCCTGAGGTGACTGCCCGGGATGACTGCCGGGATGACTGCACGAGATGAATGCCCGAGATGATTGCCCGAGATGACTGCCTGAGATAACTGCCCGAGATGACTGCCCGAGATGATGACTGCCCGAGATGACTGCCTGAGATGACTGGCCGAGATGACTGCCCGAGATGATTGCCCGAGATGACTGCCCGAGATGACTGCCCGAGATGACTGCCTGAGATGACTGCCCGAGATGACTGGCTGAGATGACTGGCTGAGATGACTGCCCGACATGGCTGTCAATTTACATCCTGTGGACAGGTGATGCAAGGCCAACGCCATCCAGAATATTACCCCTTACCATTTTGGTCAATTTTGACGACTTTTTGAACTGTTCAAAAACTGTCTTAAAATGCTAAAAATTGCTTCCTAAGACTAATATCTTTCATTTTAGGGCAAATTAGGTAAGTTTTTTTAACATTAAAAAAGTCGTCAATTTTGACCAAAATGGTAAGCCTTACCCCTTACTATTTTGGTCAATTTTGACGACTTTTTGAACTGTTTAAAAGCTGTCTTAAAATGCTAAAAATGCCTTCCTAAGACTAATATCTTTCATTTTAAGGATATTTGGTTAGTTTTTGGAACATTGAAGAAGTCGTCATTTTTACAAAAAAGGTAAGGCTTACCCCTTACCATTGGCCAAAATGGTAAGGCTTACTTCTTACCATTTTGGTCAATTTTGACCACTTTTTGACCACTTTTTGAACTGTTGAAAAATCTGTTTTAAAATGCTAAAAATTGCTTCCTAAGACTAATATCTTTCATTTTAGAGCATATTTGGTTGGTTTTTGGAACAATCAAAAAGTGGTCAAAATTGGCAAAAATAGTAAGGCACAAGGCTTACCCCTTACTATTTGGTCAATTTTGACGACTTTTTGAACTGTTCAAAAAATGTCTTAAAATGCTAAAAATGGCTTCCTAAGACTAAAATCTTTCATTTTAGAGCATATTTGGTTGGTTTTTGGAACATTGAAAAATTCGTCAATTTTGACAAAAAAGGTAAGCCTTACCCCTTACTATTTTGGTCAATTTTGACGACTTTTCAAAATTTTCTAAAACTGTTTCCTAGGACTAATCTGTTTGGTTTTGAGCATATTTGGTTGGTGTTTTGGAACATTGAAGAAGTCGTAAATTTTACTTACCCCTTTGGTCCAATTTTGACCACTTTTTTGAACTGTTCAACAACTGTCTTAAAATGCTAAAAATGGCTTCTTAAGACTAATATCTTTCATTTTAGAGCGTATTTGGTTGGTTTTTGGAACGATCAAAAGTGGTCAAAATTGGCCAAAACGGTAAGTCTTACCCCTTACCATTTTGGTCAATTTTGACCACTTTTGAAGTGTTCAAAACTGTCTTAAAATGCTAAAAATGGCTTCCTAAGACTAATATCTTTCATTTTAGAGCGTATTGGTTGGTTTTTGGAACGATCAAAAAGTGGTCAAAATGGCCAAAACGGTAGTCTTACCCCTTACCATTTTGGTCAATTTTGACCACTTTTTGAAGTGTTCAAAAACTGTCTTGAAATGCTAAAAATGGCTTCCTAAGACTAATATCTTTCATTTTAGAGCATATTGGTTGGTTTTTGGAACGATCAAAAAGTGGTCAAAATTGGCCAAAATGGTAAGGCTTACCCCTTACCATTTTGGTCAATTTTGACCACTTTTGAAGTGTTCAAAAACTGTCTTAAAATGCTAAAAATGGCTTCCTAAGACTAATATCTTTCATTTTAGAGCATATTTGGTTGGTTTTTGGAACGATCAAAAAGTGGTCAAAATTGGCCAAAATGGTAAGGCTTACCCTTTGGTCAATTTTGACCACTTTTTGAAGTGTTCAACAACTGTCTTAAAATGCTAAAAAATGGCTTCTTAAGACTAATATCTTTCATTTTAGAGCATATTTGGTTGGTTTTTGGAACGATCAAAAAGTGGTCAAAATTGGCCAAAATGGTAAGGCTTACCCTTACCATTTGGTCAATTTTGACACTTTTTGAACTGTTCAAAAACTATCTTAATATGCTAAAAATGGCTTCCTAAGACTAATATCTTTTATTTTTAGAGCATGTTTGGTTGGTTTTTAGAAGAATCAAAAAGTGGTCAAAATTGGCCAAAATGGTAAGGCTTACCCCTTTGGTCAATTTTGACCACTTTTTGAACTGTTCAACAACTGTCTTAAAATGCTAAAAATGGCTTCTTAAGACTAATATCTTTCATTTTAGAGCGTATTTGGTTGGTTTTTGGAACGATCAAAAAAGTGGTCAAAATTGGCCAAAACGGTAAGTCTTACCCCTTACCATTTTGGTCAATTTTGACCACTTTTTGAAGTGTTCAAAAACTGTCTTGAAATGCTAAAAATGGCTTCCTAAGACTAATATCTTTCATTTTAGAGCATATTTGGTTGGTTTTTGGAACGATCAAAAAGTGGTCAAAATTGGCCAAAACGGTAAGTCTTACCCCTTATCATTTTGGTCAATTTTGACCACTTTTTGAAGTGTTCAAAAACTGTCTTAAAATGCTAAAAATGGCTTCCTAAGACTAATATCTTTCATTTTAGAGCGTATTTGGTTGGTTTTTGGAACGATCAAAAAGTGGTCAAAATTGGCCAAAACGGTAAGTCTTACCCCTTACCATTTTGGTCAATTTTGACCACTTTTGAAGTGTTCAAAAACTGTCTTGAAATGCTAAAAATGGCTTCCTAAGACTAATATCTTTCATTTTAGAGCATATTTGGTTGGTTTTGGAACGATCAAAATGGTCAAAATTGGCCAAAATGGTAAGGCTTACCCTTTGGTCAATTTTGACCACTTTTTGAAGTGTTCAACAACTGTCTTAAAATGCTAAAAATGGCTTCTTAAGACTAATATCTTTCATTTTAGAGCGTATTTGGTTGGTTTTTGGAACGATCAAAAAGTGGTCAAAATTGGCAAAAATAGTAAGGCACTAAGGCCTACCCCTTACTATTTTTGTCAATTTTGACGACTTTTTGAACTGTTCAAAAAATGTCTTAAAATGATAAAAATGGCTTCCTAAGACTAAAATCTTTCATTTTAGAGCATATTTGGTTGGTTTTTGGAACATTGAAAAATTCGTCAATTTTGACAAAAAAGGTAAGCCTTACCCCTTACTATTTTGGTCAATTTGACGACTTTCAAAATTTTCTAAAACTGTTTCCTAGGACTAATCTGTTTGGTTTTGAGCATATTTGGTTGGTGTTTGGAACATTGAAGAAGTCGTAAATTTTACTTACCCCTTACCAATTTTGACCACTTTTGAACTGTTCAACAACTGTCTTGAAATGCAAAAATGGCTTCTTAAGACTAATATCTTTCATTTTAGAGCGTATTTGGTTGGTTTTTGGAACGATCAAAAAGTGGTCAAAATTGGCCAAAACGGTAAGTCTTACCCCTTACCATTTTGGTCAATTTTGACCACTTTTTGATTGCATATTTGGTTGGTTTTTAGAAGAATCAAAAAGTGGTCAAAATTGGCCAAAATGGTAAGGCTTACCCCTTTGGTCAATTTTGACCACTTTTTGAACTGTTCAACAACTGTCTTAAAATGCTAAAAATGGCTTCTTAAGACTAATATCTTTCATTTTAGAGCGTATTTTGTTGGTTTTTGGAACGATCAAAAAGTGGTCAAAATTGGCCAAAATGGCTTCCTAAGACTAATATCTTTTATTTTTAGAGCATATTGGTTGGTTTTTAGAAGAATCAAAAAGTGGTCAAAATTGGCCAAAATGGTAAGGCTTACCCCTTACCATTTTGGTCAATTTTGACCACTTTTTGAAGTGTTCAACAACTGTCTTATAATGCTAAAATGGCTTCTTAATTGGCCAAAAGGGTCAATCCAGACACAGGTAGCCCAAGACAGACACAGGTAGCCCAAGACATAATACTTCGTCTAAAAAAGTTTTCGTCCTCAAAAAGATTTCTTTAATATTCTCCGAAAATTTTTTTTACGAAGTATTATGTCTTGGGCTACCTGTGTCTGTCTTGGGCTACCTGTGTGT